ACAGCTTTAAATAGATATGAAATGGGTCCTTGAGTTTCACCTGACAGAGGTAATTATGCCCATTTACTACAGCAAAGCTTGTAACTGCATTAGTGACAGCTTTAATTAGTGAGTGAAAACAAAGTCTGCCCTGCCTCCTGATTACATCCATTGTTAGTGCTCACAGTGCATCAGTGTAGGCTGACACCTGCAGCCCTTCCTCCATGATTTAGAGTAGTGGTCTCAGCCATCATAGTGCACATGGCTGAAGCACGGCCTGTTGCTAAGCGATGGGAGAGGAAGACGTGCCAAGATTACAAACAGCGCTGCTTTTATTGAAACATGTGCCAGCCATGTGGGCTTTTTCCTCTGAGATATGATTGTTGAGTGACCTTGTTTCGTCCCCGCACGTCTGATCAAACGAAAAATGTTGCCATGGAAACCAAGAGCAGGCCAGACATAGGCTAAACAAAGATTAAGGTTGCATTTTTTTTCTCTCTCTCCTCTTGAGGCCGTTCCTGCATCTGTGTGTCTCCGATTTCTTTCGAGCCAGAGGGAAGTGATACTGTAAGAACGACAACTTGACCCCTTACAAGCTAAAGACCTCATTTAGCTACAGTTACCTGTGTCAGACACAATACTATTGGACTGATTTATTTAGAACGAATGCATTATTAACAATGTCTTTGGTGCAAGCTGTCCTGGTGTTTGTTGCATGATGGACTGAAGAAAACATGACACAACCCATTAACCCCTTTAAATGGCAAAATGAGCCATCTATTCATCTGGTAGCAGTTTTTATATGCAGCAAACAGGCAGAGATTCATTATCATGTGGGCTAACAAACCATTCACTGTTCAACATTTCAGTTGCTTCAAAGCAGCTATAATAGGGTGACCAGATGTCCCCGTTTTCCAGGGACAGTCACTGTTTTGGTGGCCTGTCCCCGGCTGGAGCTGTCCCCAAAAATGACCCAGTTTTTAACATTTGTAATTAAAAACAGACGCCTAGCATTGCGCTTGTTTTGGCCAACAGAGGGGGTTGGCTTCTAGCTACTGCAGCTTCGGAAATGAGGCTAGAACCATCAAAATAGAGTTATCGAATCAGATTCTTTTTTTCTTTTTTTGTTTTCTCTAGGCTGAGAAAATGTTACCTGGCTCACTCATTGGCTGGAGTTCATAACCAGGCAGTAAACTAACAAAAACAAACATAACCAAAGAAAAAATTGTTTTTATGTTGGAAGAAGTGAAGAAGAAGAAGTTTGCCGACTGTCTTCAATGGACTTCACACAACAAAAAAAAGGCTTTTGATTCTTTTGATCTGTGGACCCTTACAAACTAAAGGAATATAAATAATTGAGGAATAGATAGGCAATAGTATTTCATGACTGCTTTAAAGGTAGAGAATCGTCATGTTATCACAATAGTTTTTTGCAGGACAGCAGTTACCATAGTCAAAATACACGACTGTCCCCTTTTTTATTTCATAGGGAAAAACATTGGATATCTTAATGATATATTGACCGTCAAACTGGAAATATCTGGTCACCTTAAGCTATAATCTATATTTCTGTAATAACAATGTTATAAAATGACAACGTGAAAACAGTGTGAATACTAATAAACCCACAGAGAATTATCACCTGAACTAGCAGCTTCATCCAGCGTATTGAGCTTTAAAGCGAGTTTCAGCTCAGTGTTTGGCAACTTTACTTTTCTGTTTCACTCTCACTGCTCTCATGATAAGTTTTCAGCTACAGCAGACAGCTGTTTACAGCGAAGAAACTCTAAAAATCCACTATAAACCACCTGTAGACACAGTGAATAGCTAGACAACACATTGGAGCATTTATAGAAACTGGCGGGGAAAGACCAAAAACAGAGCTAAAACAGAGTGAATATACAACAGGTGGACACAAGCATGACTTTGAATGAGTGAAAAAATAGCCTTGTTAGTGCTAGTGCTAGTGCTTGTGCAGGTGACAAGAGCATTGGTCACTTAACAATGCTGCCACTACTTAATGATTAATAGTGGTTGGATCTGGGGTTTCAGCTTTGCAGAGAAATACACCGGTTCTGTCACATTTTACCCATTAAAAAATATAAGATTATGCTGAGGAATTATGGAATAGTAAAGTAAATTCTGTAATTGGTGTTTGTCTGTCAGTCCCCGTGTTCATAGAGAGGCATTGATTCTGTAGGATTCATTTTATTTATTTATTTTTGCACAGATCGAGACATCGACCCTCCATCTGAACCCCATCTGAGTACACGGAGAAGAACAAGAGAAGGAAAGGCCACCTCAGATTTACCACAGAGCCAAAACAGTCAAGGAAAGGCCGCATGCAGTTGCCAGGCAACACTATCCGTATCACAGCAGGAAGTGGAGTCGAACAGCACATTAATCACTTTCAGCTCCATCTCACAAGAGTCAGAGTGCTACAACGCTCCGGTCAGACAGAGGTTTCACACTATGCTCAGTCACCCTGGCTCATACCTGCATTTCCTGGAATTTTACTCGAAACATGATGGGACAGAAACGTCTCCAGGTGTGTTGACATAATTCATGGAATACATTTCAGAGGATCAGTATCATATCAGTCCATATTTCTCCCACTTCATGTCTCAATTCAAGTCTGAGCCCACCATATGGGGAGGTTTACAGTCTGAACCCTAGTTGCTTTTTTTTAAAGTTAAACCTGTGCTCGGAGAATGAATTTGGCACTGAATGTTATTTAAACAAATCATGAGAGATATCTGCCTGCTGCTCAGTGTGCTTCAAATCTGTTTGTTTCACCTGCCAAAGCACATCTTTTCAAGACAGATCCAGCTCCAACAGAGTTTCTGCAGTTATATACTGCGCAATTCTTGTCATGCTGCTAAATGGATGAAATCCAGGTGACTTTAAAATGCACAGTAAGTCACAAAAGGTCGTAATTTCCCGTATTAATTATTAATTAACTTCCACGTCTCAACAATATCAAAATAATCCCAGTTACAGGATGCCACTGAGCTGACCACCTGGTGCATTATCCTGAGGTGCCTCTGTCTAATTTCTTCCATTCATATATCATGTTATAATGAGGTAATAATTGTAATTGTCCCATGCTGTGTCCCTTGTTGCTATAATCTTCATTTATTAAATGATTTATGGTGGCATTCTGAGTAGGAGGCTACATTGGTGTAGCAGCTTATTGGCAACACACAGGCCCTCACAGCTTTGCCAAAGCCAGGCTCGCTGCAGCAGATCTGTGAATTGAGGAAAACCCAAAAAAGAAAAAAAAAATCTCAAAAAGCAGCATGTGGGTGGATTCACTTGAGTAAAAAAAAAAAAAATGACAAGGTTTTCCCCGCTCAGTCGGCACTCATAAAGAGACCTAATCAAATACAGAAACAGAGTGTGCACACTGAGCAACAATGGCATGCTATGTGAGGGAATCATTGTTGGAAAGATGAACAGGTTTGCGGCCACCTGCCCGCCTGAAGCGGCCATCCATAAAATTAATGTAAATATCAAAACCGGCACCTGGGCGAATCAACAATGAAATACCCTACAGAGCAGTTTTAAAAGTTGCATTTTGTGGAGAAAAATAATCAGCTTTTCTTATTCCATATTTTTCTTATGTCGGCTGCTTTTTGTGCTCCAGTTACACGGCCTAAAGGCAGGAAGTCTGAGCTGAATCACCAATTTATCAATCCCAGACAAACTACAACAACACAAATAGCCTACCACTGGGCACTGGGATAATTAACAGCCAAAGATTACAAAATAAAAATAGTGGCACCAGTAGGGGCGTGTAGTTACTGTTAACATATTCAGCTGTCAGATGGTAAGTGATGATAGACTGGAATGAGGAGAGAAAAATGTGTGACAGCTTTGTATGGCCACATTCAGCCACACATGAGTGAAATCTGTCTTATTTTACCAGGCAAGCACACAGGAACATCCAGCCACCTGGGTGTTTGTCTCACCTCGTCATGTCCAAATTATACATTATGCATTCATTCAGGAAATTCAACAGTGTTTTAACTGTAGCAGTTTAACAGTGAGACTGTACTAAGGGACAGGTTAACAGGGCATTAAAAGCACCAGCGTTTACATTTGGAGCATATGCACAAAAATAAACTGTTCTGTCTGTATGAGTGAAGGGGTCAGGGTGTTTTGACCTACAGTAATGATGGTGCTAAAGGTGAAAGGTCAAAGGGTCAACATGATCGATATTTGTTTTCCTCTTGGGAGCATAAAGGAATCAGACCATGAGGTTGTTGGATTGAAATAATTACAAGATAACAGACCAAAAATTATGATGATGATGATGATGATGATGGTGGTGTTTTGTTTTGTTTTTTTGTTTTTTTTGCCGTGCAGCCGTACAGCTATTATAAACCTTTAAGAGTGTCTTAAACCTTTAAAATCTGTTACTATTAATGACACTATTACTTTTCATTTTCGTACATTTCAGCTCTCATGGGTTTTCAGTGTTGCGTCTCCGCAGCGCATCTTTGATGCGATCACTTTTAGATAAACAGCGCCTTCTGGATTTGAACGCACGACCTCTGCCGAAAAACACGTCAACCACCACTACTGCAGCAGCAGCAGCAACAGCAGCAGCAGCAGCACTGCACGGACACGCCAGCAGGCCTATAGGGAAGCTTGCCAGTTACAGACTGCTCCCTCTTAATTATCTCCATGGCTGCTGATGAGAGCCGACGGGAGCCGGACCTGCTCCAAATGCGCCAATTATCTGCAGAAGACGGACGCGCGGCGGTGTGTATACAGAGCAGTATGTTCCGCTGAAATCAAAGAGAGCTGATTAAAACAGTCTCTTATCGGTGGTTATCAGTAGTTAAAAGTAGGTTACGTGTGTTGTCTGCTCTTTACGTAACCTTTTTTTTTTTTTTTTTTTTTTTTTTTTTTGCGTAATTTTGCACTGGGTACTGTTTGCCGCGTGGAGTGGGATTATTTTGGCGAGGTTATCTCCAGTGCTCTCCCTCCTCCCTGCATCCGTTGTTGTGCTCAGCAGCAGACTCAGACTCAGCCAGACGGGGACAGCAACACTGTAAACAGACGAGGAGCCGTTTTAATGAAAGAAAGCCAACAACGCTGCACCGCGGTTGAAGGTAGGTGTCTCTGTCGGTTTCCGTCTCTCGGCTCACGTTTCCATGTTGTGCTCGTTTGTTTCCCAACAGAATGGTGCAATGCAACGTTTGCACCGCTCCTCCACAAACGGACAAGGACATTTCAGAATACACGTAAATATTTGCAGGATTTCACATTTTGATGTCTTTTATTTCTCTCTTCCTCTTTATGTTATTACGCACAACATTATTTTGTGTGTGTCTAAGAGGTAAAGAGAGCGAGGGAGAGAAAGAGAGAGAGAGAGAGAGAGAAAGGAGAAAATGGGAAGAAGAAGAAAATCAATGCATGTCTTCCAGGAGTGTGAATGCACATGGGTTAGCGTGAGTACCGTGTGTGTGTGTGTGTGTGTGTCTGTGCGTGTGTGTGCGTGTGTATTTATTTTAGGGAAAGACGCGCACTGTGCAAAGCAGCAGAGGAAAGTTTCTACTGTATGTAGGCTACAGTATCTGCGTGAGGAGGCTCTGATGAGGCAGACAGGACCGGTGGCTACTGTACATGATGTGATGCTGCATGTTCACATGTGATTTGGTGTTTTAGATGGAGATGTTGCACAATCTAAAGAGAGCGTCCTTCACAATGAATACACGTCGTTTCAATACTTAGATAAGCTGATAGTTGTAACTCTGTTTTTTCATGTCCATTCGGAACAATGTTACATATAAGTAATAAAAAAAACAACAACAATTATTAATGTTTGTTGTCAAGGAATCATAATTGAACATAATTGATGTTTAATGACTGTTTTGATGTAAACCAACATTTAACAGCAGCATCATTGTCTAATGTTAGTGCCTGTAGTGAAAGACTTGATCCATGTGGGAGTGACAGCAAGTTCATGTGATGTGAGTTGTGGTGGTGGGGCAGCTCTTTTGTTTACATCTCTGTACACACAAATTTGTAAATGCAGGTTTTTCCTTTGGGGTATTGATTTGAATATCTGTCACCCAGTTTGTATCTGTCTATTTGTGTTTACGAAACATCTATCTATCTATCTATCTATCTATCTATCTATCTAATGATAATATAATAATAATAATATTTCTTTATCATCCTTTTTTCTGCTTTTTTTTTTCAGCCTCCAATCAGCAATGCCTGGGAATCCTCCAGCTGCTCTTCAGTGCTGTTTTCTGAGAATGGGATCGTAGTAAACCTCTCCGGGATTTAGATCAACTGCTAGAATGTTGCAGCCTGCCGCCAGAACAGGTGACAGCCTGTTGGAAACGTTACCTCAGTGGAGTAAGCGTCCGAGATGGGGCCTCTTCCTCACCCTCTGCGTGGCCCTCCTTTGGCCTCCAGGGGCAGAGGGATCTGCCCTGAACTGCCATAAGACGTGCATCTGCGCCTCAAACATAGTGAGCTGCTCCAAGATGAATCTGACCACCGTCCCGACTGCTATACCGCTCTACACCGTCGTGCTGGACCTCAGCTATAATGAGATAACGCGGCTGCGATCCGAGTGGACCCCGATCAAGCTCCCGAAGCTCCATAACCTCCTCCTCAGCCACAATGGTCTCCACTTCCTGTCTTCAGAGGCATTCGTAAATGTGAAGTACGTGCGCTACCTGGATCTGTCCTCCAACAACCTGCAGCAGCTGGATGAGGTCATCTTTGAGCCTTTGGTCAACCTGCAGGTCCTCTTGCTCTACCATAACCAGATTTCACAGATTGACCGCTCAGCCTTTGTTACCATGGGCAACCTTCAGAAGCTCTACCTTAGCCAGAACCAAATCTCCCGCTTCCCCCTGGAGCTGGTCAAGGAAAAGACCCGCCTGGAGAAACTTAGCCTCCTGGATGTGTCCTCCAACAAGATCAAGATATTGCCCATTGATGAGCTCCAGGTTCTGCCTGCTTGGATTAAAAACGGCCTCTACTTCCACAATAACCCTCTGCTGTGTCACTGTGATCTCTACACACTCCTAGCCCATTGGTACATTCGGAAACTCAACTCTGCCGTGGACTTCAAAGATGACTACACATGTATTCTGCCTGGCCCGCAAAAAACAAAAGTAGGTGTGTTTGACCTCAGCGGTGACAATATGAACTGCAGCACATTCACAGAGGCAGATGAAGAGGCTTTTCTGGAGCAAACGCTCACGCTGGGTTGTGACACCAAACACAGGGACATGTTAAAGACCTGGACGATGCCTGGCAACGTGCAAGTGACACCTGGAAGCAACCAAACTGCCAAAGTCCTGCAAGACGGAAGTCTGCGGATTAGTCCGGTGAAGGCCGAGGACTCTGGGACCTACACTTGCTTTGCGACGAGCGAGGGCTTCAATGAGACCATCTATGTGGTGCTGAAGGTTCACAACTTCACCATGAACGGCGGCGGAGAGACCCTGAACACAGCGTACACCACCTTGGTGGGCTGCCTGGCCAGCGTGGTGCTGGTGCTCATGTACCTTTACCTGACGCCGTGTCGCTGTTTCTGCTGCCCCAACAAGGGTAAGACTCGGGGGGAGGACAGCATCCACTCGTCCATGCTCAGTGTGACGCCGACCCACGAGGACCCAGCGCTCAAGGCTGAGCTGAACAGGCACGTGGCATTCATAGACTCAAAGGACTTGCAGGGCCAGAACGGCAAGCTGAACCCCAATGGGGATGAGGACGATGATGACCTTGATGCAGAGGCTGGTTCTCTTATGAAGGGGAAGAGGAAGAAGTCAGTAGCAGAGTCCATTAGCTCCGTCTTTTCAGACACGCCCATGGTGGTGTGAGATGAGATGAGAGGAGATGAGATGGATGCCGCACGACTGGATGTATATGGTACAACATGAGCCATGTTTTAGTTACTGTAAACTGTGACTGTGAACCTGTGGGAGAAAAACGGAGGCAGGATGTTCATCTGTAGTTGCTGGCAGGTGCGAATGAGGATCACAAAGGGAGTAAAATACAAACTGTCTTGTTGTCGACGAGGACAATAAGCAGGACATTTCCAGCATTTTAATCTGTAGCACTTAATATTCATACTGTGAAGGAATGGCAGTGTGCATGGACAGTGGAAACTACTGAAGTCTTATAAGAATAACAGGAAGATATGTTGTTGATATCAGCACTCAGGAAGTGATCGTTTAAGTTGCTTAAGTGTGGGAAATACATATGATACAATGCACAGGCTGAAATTAGATAAAAAAAATAGTTCACATACAGTATATATTGAAACCGTGGCTGGCTCATAATTATATTTATTACGAGGACTAGAATAGATTGCATCTGACATAAACATTAGAGCTTAGAATCATTTTCCCCTTCTCTATCAACACAGGGAGACGTAGATAGATAGACTGTCACCAGGCTGTGAACACACGTGTTATTAACCTAGAGAAACAGCATGCCGTAAACCCACATTATATGAGACTGATCAGTGTGAGCGAGGAAATGTGGATTCATCAAACGTTTGGTCATTTATATCGAGAAAGTGGTGACAGAAAGATTATATTAAGAGACCATCGCAGGTCATTTTCATCCTGATTCATAGCCAACGCTCAGATATAATCCATCAGGCTCATCCTTGGTCGTATTCATAGTCACATGTATAGCGATGTAGGAGAGAGCTCCTTTTTTTCTTTGCTATGTTGAGGGTTTAGTTTCCACGGATGTATGGTATCAAATTGTTAACCGGCTCGAGGCGGATCACTGCGTATGAATGAATTGCGTATCAAAAATAATTGCCTCTTAGTTACTGCACATCTACAGTGTAACCCAAAAGAAGCTTCTGAAGCCTTACGCGATTTACAACAAGGAAGGCCTCCAGCAGACTCACATTAGGCGCAGGGAAGTATTCTGTCTTGACTGATTATCAACATGTCTTAATCCTGTATACAGACAGGTACCATGGTCCTTACAAGGACAAACAGGCTCCTGGTTGTTGTCCACTGAGGTGCCACTTACTGTTACCGCAGAGTAGAATTCCAAGTTATATTTGTTTCTCTCTGTCGCTCTAGCAGGAAGCGAAATACCCAGCCCCTGCTGAAAGCTGCCAGCTTTCATTCATTTTATTCTTCCCTGTATGTAAAGTGTGCACCTTATACAAAATCATGATATATTTTAATGTAATTAGCTTGAAAAACAAACAACCCATGAACCTTCATTACGTCATGAATTATGTCGCAGATTTAAGTGTTAAATCTTGCATTTTGCTGAGATGAACGATTCCCAGTGTCACACTGATTAAAAGTGGAGATGTTTTGCCCTCTGGTTGGTAGGAAATTATGTATGTTGTATTAGCAGGTAAACATTAGAGCCTGCCACAACAAAACCTACAGGGTTCCTTCTGAAGAGCAGGCTTATGAATAATATTGACGAGGCTGCACATTATTTGACAGGAGAGAGCTGATTTTACTGTTTCTAACTGCTGTCAGGAAAGCTCTTGTAACACAGGGGACTATCCTTCAGAGGATCCCTTCATCTCAACAACTATTATTGAATCTATTGTGAATTGAATTTACCAGACACATCATATGCTGTGCTTATTTCATTAACCAGGTTTAAAACACAGGACTGTGTCTTGACACAAACCAGAAAGAGGGATTTCATTAAATTATGTGGCGTTCGTGACATAGTACAACAAGGCTCGGCCTGCACGAATGCTAATTGCATCTTTTGATGGGATGTAGCTTCCCCCATGCTTTCCATGTCTTTGTCTCTCTGAGCATGAGAGGATAGGTGTGTTATCATGAGTCACAGCAACACAAAGCCATTCTCTCTGGCTCCGTGTACACTGACCGCCTCAATTCAGCCCAGATGTGTTTGCTTTGTCTGTGTACCTCTGTCATTACGAGGTCGCCCTTACTGAAGTTCAAAAGCAATCATTCAACCGGGCAATGAATCTGATGCCCTTTAAGTAGTCTGTAATTTGTTTACGAGGGAAACGCCTGGAGCTTTCCTGAACATTTGCTCTCCCACTGATTCATATGGCTCGACAGCACAGTACAGTATAATACAGGAATTTGAGTTTTCCAGTTCAGAGAGTACCACAGTATATATAAGAAAAAGTAGAGGTGTCAGTTATGTAAATCACACACATCTTGCCTAGAAATATCAATTCAGCTCTCAAATGTTGAGATGTACGCATTTCTGATTTCAATCGGTTTTTTACGCAAAATTGGTGAAATATTCACAGTTGCTGTGTGCACCGCAGCATCTCCTGTGTGGGTGAGAAAAGGAAGTCACACTTACCAGAGAGGTGGTGTGTGAATCATTCCACTCTCTCACACATAGGAATACCAGGTGGAGAAATATAGAGCAGCAAAAATACCACAAGACGCATTTTTAAAAAAAGCCACATTTATAACTACTGCAGACTGGCTGCAGAAACCACCACACTGTAAGAGATCCAGGCTCCGTGTTTTACCCTCTAGAAGTGAAATATGTATATAGTGGGATCAATCTAAGCCCCCTTTGGATTTCAAGGCCAGACAAGCTATTGAATGTAAGTCACAGAATCAGAAATAGCTAAAAACTAAAATCATACACAGATATTACAGCCGTTGGATAGCACACATTGAACCGCCGGACCATGGAGGAATAGCTTGTGTTTGCCCTGCAGTAACCCAGAGTCAAACCAGTTCAATCTGCCGTGGCTAATGGGTGGTCTTCTTCTGTGGGACGCCACTCAAAATACAAGTTGCAGTTATGTACAGAGAAAAACTGTGTGATTTTGGTATTGGAGGTCCTAACATAGAGGAGAAGAGTGGCTTTGTTCCCTCCAAAGCAAATCTGCCTTCCTATATATATCTATATATACAGTATATATATATGTATTAAGATTCACTTTTCTGTGTTCAGTATTGATTAGCTGTGTACTGCTATGTTCTACCAGTGTACTGACTGTATTCTTGTATAATCCGATGTTGTTGATCATTTTGCATTTCGTCTGCCACCGTGCTACTGTTAGCTGTTTCAACATTCAAAGTCTTGACATAAATGTTTATTTTTTAAGCGGGATGGGGTTTAGTTTTTTATTGAAAGAGGATTATTTTACACTTGACTCTGCTGAAGAATTTGGTTCAACTGAAAATATGTTTGAATGTGTATCACGAACTGCATAGGAAGGATTCCAGTTTTGAAATCATTGGGTAGTGAGTATGTAGCCGCCAATTCTTTTCAGTCAGTGTTTGACTTCGCTCATAAAGCCATAAGGAACTTAAGGAGGAAGTGCAGTGCTTTATGAGAATGGTGTTTTAGGATGTTGTAGGTGGAGAGGTGAGTTCTCCAACAGATACTTTATAACAATTAAAGCAACAACTTTCTATCTGTAAGAAAAGTCAAAGAATTCAATAATAAATAAGCCAAGGATGTAATGATGAATAATGCAAATTGAGATCTGTCCACCCACAGCAACGAATTCCTGAAACACCGTGGATTTTGAATGGATTTGAAGACAGAGGGTAAATAAATCTTCTCAGGACTATTTTAAGTTCTAATGTAATACGATGTGAAAGCATCATTTTAAAGGTTTTCACATTTGCAGCAACAATAAGATAAAAGCTTTGGTTTTAGAGATCTGTGCAGTTTACAGGCCCTTTGCTATTTTCAGTAATGGCACTTTAACTGTTCCCTTAATGATCAGTTATCACAGATTAGAAAAGGGAGTGGTCTCTCACTGCCCAACATCTATCTCCACTCATCTAACTATGTGGTAGCAGTTACGGGAACATTGTTGAGATGGTGGAGCTAAAAGCTCACTGCTTCTACAATGTGCTAATATAAGTGTCCGCAGGACAAGAATGGAGCTTTTAACAGCATTAAAAGCACCGAGTTTATTGACCACTGCTTCTAAGATGAGCTGGTTAGTCGCTGCCATAAAATCTTGAAAGGTCTCGCAGCTTAGTGGAATGGCTTTGCATGGTACGCTTAAGAGCTTTTCTGACTGCAGGATAGGTGCGACATAGTAGGCATTAGAAATAAAGAATGCTGATATATCATTTGACTTAATAAAAGATTAAGATTTACACACTGTGCTGCCTCCATTTTTACTGCCGCCTCTTACTTTTACCAGAAATAATCTTCAGGGAAATGTTCCTCTAGTTATTTGCTTCTAGATTTTTATGGCTGATATCTGACAGATTATCCAATTAGGACAAAGCTGTCTGTAATCACAATAAGTGAAGGAGTTATCCATTTTGGGATAACACCATAAACACAACAACACAAGGCAAAACACCATATGTTTCCTTTATAACTAATGGACTGAATAGCAAAAACAGCCCCTTATGGAAAATCTAATCCACAGACACTGAGAGCGCCATATATACACCCTATGTAAGATACAGATATAAGATACCTCACTTCATTTTTATTACCTGTCACATGAGCAGAACAGAACAGTCTGTGTAGGTTTCTATACAATGTGTGCTTATGTAACTTATGACTAAAGGTTCAGCATCCTGCTCTTTGTGAGGGACAATATTAAAGACGTGACGCCATCTAGTGATGAAATGTGGTTATTGCTTTCATAATTAATAGAGGAGTTTGGAAATTTAAACAAATTATTGTTGAGTTTGTGTTTCTTAAAATCTGAAACTACTTTTGATGTAGGAATCTGAGCTTGAAAAAATATATGGCAGGTGCAGCAGAAGTTGTATAAAAGTGGAAAAAATACTGCACAGGCTCATTGACTTTTGATATAATTATTTATGTCTCAACAGTTCCAAATACACACATATATCCTGGGTAAATTAGCCAGAGGTCCAGGGTACTTGGGTGAATTTTATCACCAAATGAACAAATTGTTGTGGTCCTCCGAGTGGATAATTCACCGTGTCCAAGCCGCATATACTGTGTATATGGAATCGTTGTGATGATTGTCTGAAGTATTCAAGAAGGTCTGTAGATTTTCTTTCACGTACATAAAAATTTTACATTTAATAGGTCAAAACAAAGATTTCTGCCCAGTTACTTAATTGATATTTACCATCTGGTGTTTGGAAAAAAAAGATCAAAGTTTCATCTTTTGGGTAAATGAGTAATGAGTAAACTAAACTGAGCAAAAGTGGCGTTGTACCATCAGTACAGACCCACAGTAAAATAATAAGACAGGGCTATGAGGATTCAAGAATTTTTATTTGTTTTGCCATGAAGTGACTTTTCATTTTAGCAGCATAATTAGTAGTTTGAGGTATTTTTATTTTCTTACACAGGTAATAAAGTGAGACATTTAGTCATGTAGAAAAGAAGACATTTTGCAAAAATAAACAGTAAACAGTAACAGTAAAATGCAGACAAACACTTATTCCTGATGTCCGTGCATAAAAATGTGAAGACATAAATAAATGTGGACAAACACACTCCTCAAAACATATTCAGACATTCATACTACAGACAGGCGTTTCATGCTTACAGGACAAGATCTGCATTAAAAAAAAAAAAAAAAAACACTGACTGTTTGCAGCCTATTACCTGCAGGGTGAGTGAGTCTACTCGCTCTTTAGGAGTTTGATCTTTTCTCCAGGCAAGAACCAATATTCTCTCCCTTCCAGGTGAGGAGGCTGGAGCGGGAAGGAGAGGACAAGCGCTTACACTTGGAGGTTCTGGATACTGAGGAGCTGAGGGGGGGCTGCTCACTGCTGCCTTTGCGCTTTTGGCCACGACCCTTGTGATCATAACCCACCACCTTCTGCTGAATTCCTGGGGGCTTCCCTCTGCTGCGGGGGGAGCAGTGGGTTGTCGCAGGTAAAGGGGAACGCTTCTCCAAACCTGACAAGTGTCTCTCTGAGGGCTGCAGTGGCAGAGGAGGACATGGCTTCTTTCCACGCGAGAAGGTAACAGTGGCTGGTCCTTGAAAGGAGGGGATGTGTGGCTGGGCCTTCTCCTGGAGGGGGGGATCCCTGATGTGTCTGGAGGATTTATCCTCTCTGCTGTGTGGCAGCCTGGTGGCTTTCTGTGCTGTACTTGCATCTTGCATAAGGGCCACCTCCTTCAGCTGAGCCTTGCTTGGTCGTCCGACAGCGTTGCCCCGTCGGCCAGGCCCAAAGCTCGCAGAGGAGGTGGAGGAAGGCGGTTTGGTACTCTGAGAGTTGTGCTGACTGCTTTTGGTTTCCAGTTGTCCCAGTGAGGTAGACTCGAGACTGAGGGAGCCAGTGGACTGGGAGGGTCTAGCCGCAGTCCTGACAGTTGGTGGTGGTGTGACATGACAAGACCTGAGACCTGATGATACTTGAGGCATTTTCCTGTAAGTTAAAGGAAAAACATGAAGCTGATTAGGTTCCTGTAGTTCATGTGAATGAAAGAAAAGAACTAGAATTACCGCCTCGTGGTTGTATCCCTCCACCTCTCAGACCAGTCTCAGGTCACATCCCTGTTTATCCAGAGTCATAGAAAATATGAACCATTTGTGTGAAAGTTTGTCATTATTGCTGGATGAAGTTTTGAGTAAAAAGTGTTTTATGAGGTCACACTGACCTTTGACCTTTGACCACCAAAATCTAATCACTTGAGTCCAAGTGAACATTTGTGCCAAATTTGAAGAAGTTCCCTTGAGGAGTTCTGGAGATATTGCGTTCACAAGGCCAAAATCATGTTTGGCATGGAGGCATAAAAACACTTTCACTGATGGGTTCTGGTGGATCATTTTATTATGACATAGATAATCCAGTGACAGAAACTCCCAGATGTTAGCCAAGATCCCTGCAACTGAGTATAACAGACAACTGTTTGCTCAAGTTCTGAAATTTCCTCCTCTAAACACACTTGAAGGAGAGGACTAGTCTTTCTAGAATCTGTCTGATGTAGTGAAACCTGGTAATGCCATCAATCCTTCCTTAAGATGTTTTATTTCTGTAAGGGTATCAGATCAAGTCTGGCCATTCCTGATCATATAATTAATAATTTCATAAAGGTCTAAGAGATGTTTAATCAATAATAAACTGATGCATTTTCTAATGATTATTTATGTGTAATATCACCTTAATCTCTGGAAAGAAGAAACCAGATTGAGCAACAGAACAGTGCCCTGCAGGGGTTTCAGTGTCTAGTTCAAACACACACACATGCACACACTGGAGTCTGCCTGGATGTCTCCCAGCTCACTGAGCAACTCTTTTCTTCACCTTGCTGAAAACAGATAGGTGCCATGTCTGCTATATGGAGCGATGATACTCACTTCCACAGGTGTGTGCTGACATGGTGCTCCAACATGGCACTGAGGGCAAACTGCAGGTGATGCAAACGACGGTCGAAGGTGAAGATGCTGCAACCCAATGTGCGGCATCCAAAAGTGCATAGCTACAGAACAGAGACGATTTCATTAACACAGACACACTCCAGTGTCCTTTGGAGACAAATACAATTCACATACATCACAAATACATCACAGCTGCTTAGCCTACAATTCATTTTTCCTCTTAAAACGAATCTACAAATTTTCAAACATTTCTGAAGTCATCTTCTGACAAAAAATCCCAGTCTACTGGCTGCTGCTGTGCTCGTGTATTTCTCCACTCACCCCGAGAGGTTTGGGGTGCCACGGTGAGGCAGGCAGGTCCGTAGTTTCCTCCTGCTCATCGTCTTCACTTTCCTCGCTTGACAGCAGGCTCTGGTTGAAGGGATAGGGAGGCTGTACCTCCACTTCTACAGTGCTGTCACCTTCCTCTTCTGGAAAGCTTTCTTGTGGATCCCTGGACCTGCATGAAGGCAAAATAACGCAAAAATAACTAGAATTCCCGCCTCGTGGTTGTATGCCTCCGCCGCTCAGACTAGTTTCAGGTTACATCACTTTTTAGTTAATTGCTGTGTGACGTCTTGAGTAATGGCTAAAAAGTTTTGTGTGAGGTCACACTGACCTTGACCTTTGACCTTTAACCACCAAAATCTAATCAGTTCATGCTTGAGGCCAAGTGAACGTTTGTGCCAAATTTGAAGAAGTTGTGTCCAGGCCTTACTGAGATATCGTGTCCAGGAGAATTGGACGGACAACCTGAAAACAATATGCCTCTGGCTCTGACTGTTGCAAGCATGGAGGCATAACATTTATGAACTTCATCTCCAATGGCAATTTTTGATAGTTGCGCAGGAGGCATTTGAGTGAATAACATAACTTTGCTAATATGTAAAGAATTGTATTCCATACCTGAGAATGTGACAGTTGCTGTTGAAGTTGTATCTGTTGCCCTGAGTTGTTATTTTCTCTTCGAAAACTTCCAAATGTTGCTCTTTGTCTTTTAATTTGACAAGAAGCTGCTCCATATCTCGACCTGCTGAGGCCGCTCTCTGCTCCGCTGCCAGCTGATCAAAGCTCTTAGCCCTTCCCAGTGCTTTCTGCTGCTGCTGGATGCAATCAGTCTGTGTAGAAAGAAGAGAGACATCCCATCCCAAACAAATGATAAAACCTTTCATGTTTCTGCATCAAATGACAAACGCAGACAAAGCGCTCACGTCTCTGTTAATAATGAGCAACAACAAAGATACTGGTAACAGTATTGGGTAAAAGGAAAAGGCACTGAGAGTTTACATTGCATATAAGCTCCTGGCTGCCCAGCTTCTTCCTTTCTGGATCCAGAACTCTGCAGTGTTTGTTCAGGTCACATTCTTTCTCTATGGGAAAAAAGCAAACACAGTAGTCGGTGAGTAACAGCAGGAGACAGTCAGTCAACATGATCCATGCTGGTGGAGATTACAGACCAACATATGGTCATTTTCTTTTTTACAACAAAATAATAGAAAATGATTCTGCATATGATACAATTATAGTAGAATGCAAATACTTCTAACACAGTCTTGATAGTTAAACAACAACAACAGAAGTTGTATAAATGGCAGACATACTGTCTATGTTTTTATGAATCCGGCTGTAGGTTCTCGTTCCCCGCGAAGGACTGTGAGACTCACTGGACTGTCCAGCTGTGGACTTCTGCACAGAGGGTCTCTCTGACGGGGGAGTGGAAGAGGAACAGGGGCCAGGGGGCAGGGGTCCCGCGTGCCGCGGAGGAACCCTGAGGCGAGGTGTGGACGAGGAGTGGTGGGGGTGGGGAGGGTTCTCCTGAGGGAACTTCTCCACTGAAGGCAAACTGAAGAGGTGGTGGGAGAAGCAACACTTCAGAACGGACTTATGAGATTCACACATGAAATTTAGATACAGTAAGTGACAAAATTCTGGTTTGCACATGACCCAGATGGAATAAAAACTACAGCTTCGAACGTGGGTCAGAGTGCACAGCGTTCTGTATGTGAGACGTCATTCTATGTGTACATGGGTGTGTGGATGCTCTGCAGCTGGGTCAGTGACATATTGAACTTATATATAAACAAAGCCACATTGCAAAGAATTATGGCGTTTAGTACTAATTATAAAACTAAAAGCGTTTAGTTTTATAATTAGTTAATAATTTAGATTTTTCTCTCCATGATTCTAATGAACATTATGATCCCCCACCCACAATTGTAATCATTCAACAAAGCAACAAATAAATAACAAGGACGCAAGGAGGACTGAGTTCAACACAAACCAACCATCATGCTGAGCATCTCCTAAAATATCAAACGAAGTGAACAATCTTAAACAGTACCTCACTGCCTCCCTCTGGGCCTTACTGGGCCTGTACTGGTGGGCAGGTAACACGGCTGAGGGTGGGTTGGCGTCCTCATGATGTCTGCCATCTTTCTGTCTCTCTCTAGAGGAGGACAGATTGGAAAGAGGCCGGCAAGGCCGAGGTCGCTGCTGTGGTGCCAAAGTAGATGACTGGCCACACATCTTTGTGAGCGCACCGTGACGCCTCACACAGTGCTTCTCAAAGGCTTCAGGCTTCACCACCTGGCCACAGTGGCTGCACACCACCAAATAAAACTCATCATGTGCAGGGCAGTGGCCATATATATGCATATCTGTAGAGGAAAATACACAACAGAGTTTTGAATGAAATTATTTTTATGATTGATCTATGTGAAATGATGCTGAATACTGTCAATGTTTCATGGTCCTCACCTTCTTTCCTGAGGGTCATGGTCTCACATCGGTTCCCCCCACACATGCTGCTGTCTTCATTAGACCCAGCTGCATGCAAGGCAAAAACAGTCAGCATGAGATGTCTGCACGGGTCACTCCTGTAGCCTCTAAGCAGGTTTACTGAGATAAACCTGGAACATGTCTTTCACATCAGCCGGTGTTCCAGGTTTGGGTGCTCCCACGGGTTTTATACATGAATTTAAAAGTCAGTGCTTCTTCAGACTTGTGCTGCAGCTTCCCTCATATCTGCTCCGGCAGCTGCTAATGTCTGCCGGCCAGTTTCGCTGTTCGCAGGCTGGACAAATCCCTCTTAAGTAGTGTTGTTTTTAGTGTGACACTAGCTGACGGGCTAACGCTAACGGTGAATTTACCTGTCCACAGGTGAGACGTTCGCCTTGTGTTTACTAGCAAGTGTTTTATCACTACATTACTCCACGTCTAAGGAACAATAACTTACATTTGTGTTTAGATTAGTGCCAGTACAGACTGTTAGCAAACCCACCCTGCACTAGGACCCAGTAGGTCTTTTGTTTGGGTTGCGCTTTATGCCGCTCTGTGTGTGTATGTAACAACAAATAAATCACAGGACATTGACACTATGACATGATGGAAACCACACCTGGGGCAGGGAGTGCGACTCACCGTCAGATGGTAAAATATTCACCCTATCTACCCAACAACTCCAGTTTAATCCGACAAAATCGTCGAGATTAGGATTTCGCCGATTCAAAGCGGCCATTGCTGCTCTTGCGCGTTCACGAGGTGACACCGACAGTTCGCGCGCATCACACCCGCGTCACGAAGCTCGCTGCCGAGGCTAAACCCAAGATGTGTAAGTAACGGTGTGGCCGTGCACCGTAGACTGCACAGCCTGCGGATGTTGTGTACAAAATAACGCCACATCAACAGCCGACCTGTCTGCAGTGTGCTTCAATGGAACAGTCTGTTCCTCTGTGTGCACCGGACCAAGAAGGATGTTCCTCAGTTCCCCTATTTTCATAATAATCTGGGCCTTTCGTTTATAATGTTACAATATTGTAGGGGTTTCATTGAGGTGGTGTGACGAGTTTTGATTGAATTTAGGGCTCTGTTTGGGAAATCAAAGCTGACATACCCTTCATCGGGACTAATTGAACTATTATTGTTTATTATTTACTATTATTATTATTAGCCTACTAATGAGATGTTGAAAACATGAATTTACCCAAGGGGATAAATAAATAAAGTATCTATCTATCTATCTATCTATCTATCTATCTATCTATCTATCTATCTATCTATCTATCTATCTATCTATCTATCTATCATTCAAAATTCAAATTTCTGTCTGAAAATGTTGCAAAATAATTGTAGGGGGGTCTACCACTTCCTGATAAGCAAAGGTTTATAAAAGATAATTAATGACTCTATTACTTATTAATAAATAATTTAGCCCACATTTTATAGATCAGTTGGAAAATCCTCCTCCAGCATGACACTTTTTTAGCTCGGTGTTGTTCATGGTTTATAAATGTATTTTCTCCAAAATCTTATCTCATTAATATCTACTACAGACATTATGAATTATTAACATTTACAGGTGACTGACTAACTGTTGCTGATCGCTTACTACGAAAACCCATTAGCCTTTATTAATGGCTAACTATATATAACTGCATTCAATATGATTTATTAGAAAGTGAGAAAATGGTAATCTTTTTAAAATTAATTCCTAATATTTATTACTGCAGAACTGATGGGTTGGGGGGGCCTCCATTATGAATTTAAGGGCTACTTAAGTGTCATGCTGGAGGAGGATTTTCCGCAACCTGGCAACCCAAAACTTATTGTTATCAATGACTTAAAACTGACCTATAAAGCAATAAAATTCATAAATTCATAAAAAGCTGTAGTTAATCACAACTCATAAAGCCTTTAAAATCTAAAATTTTTAAATTTTATCATAAAGTGGTACCAAATTGTCTTTATTGTCATTACACAAATTTTACAGCAACAATCTGCAGCAAACATTACAAGCAGAACATCTATGAAGTGTGATATCTGGACGAGCTGAGTAGCTGATGGAAATTCAATTCTAGCTTTCATGCAGGATGTCCAGGGTAAGCTCTGGACAAAGGGCCCGTGTACACTCTGTGGGGCTGCAACTAATGATTTTGTTTGATTAATCTGGCTATTACGTCATATATATACATGCACACACACATACATATGTGTATATATCTATATATATATGTATATATATAATGTATAACTACGATTTCACAAAGCTCAGTGATGTGGTCAGGTTCCCTGTATCCTGAGAACTGTACAAATCCAAAGAGATTCAATTAACAATAATATTAAAGGGAAATAAACACATTTAGATTAAAATTGGTGAATTCAACAATAACATCCATCTTGTGCACAGTTTCTAAATTATAGCCTGACCAGAGTCCGGAGTTTTAGACTGAGCACAGTGGTGATTTCTGATTCACTGACAGTGCACTGCATTGTGAGTCACACTCAAATTTGACTGGACTGATGAGGGTCAGGTGTTTTGGAGGCTTGTGTGTGTGTGTGTGTGAGAGGATGTTTTCATTAGCAGCTGAGATGCTGAAGATGCCTGGCAGACACAGAATGTCTAGTGAGTGTCAAACTGCACTACGTTACCTGGCCGTGTTATCTGGATGTCTGATCAACACAAATGAATAAAACTCACACATCAGCTCTTCAGAGTGTGGTATGACTGATTACTGGCCAGGTGTCCGCTCCGGTTCATCTGTCTGATCAGCACATCATGTATGTGTGCTACCGGTCAGAGTATCAGGTATAAAAATCAGACACATAAGTCAATTTCTTCCTTTTAATGATGCACTTCATATCATGTCTTCCTGGATAGTGACAGGAACTCCAGTCTGATCTGTGACATTCTTATCAACACAGTGGTGGATCAAGCTACAAACTGTGAAACAAGCAAGGCTATATCAAAAAGGAAAAACAAAACAATGACAGTAATAAAGAAAAACAGCTTGCCTTCCCTTACAACAAAGTGGAGGTAGAAGCCTGGCAACACCAAGATAAGAAAAATATATGCGGTTAATTAGTAACAGGTTAGAGATCAGTCAAATATTTATAAAAAACTGCCAAGGGTAACTAAGGGTATACAATTCATAGTACAGTGGTATTCAAATACTGTAGGACCTTGGGTTGTTGTCTTTAATTATACAACATTATAAGCTTGCAAACAGAACACAAACAAATCCTTTCAGGAAAAATGTCACAAATTCTACCTAGAAAGTGGAATAGTAAAAAAAACAAGAGCCAACATACTGTAAACGGATATATTCACCACATTCAACACAATAATCAGCCTCAAGGCTAATCTTACTATTTTAGCCTAACAGCATTCTAAGATGACAAGGTGAGACATAATACAAAAATGATTAAACAAAATTGTTTTTACCCATTATAAATAATCTCATATTGGCAACTGAATTATTTTTCCAAATGAACTATTATTTAACATTCATTCATTGCAACTACACTTTTTGATGCCGATTGTAGGTTTCAGGATTAGACTGAAGTTTAATTTGGTCCCCAGGCTAGACTGGTGTTAATAATAAATGCACTTCAAGTATGTTATACTCATTGGGTGTTTGGTAATCCTACACTCAATAGCCCTGAGTCTTTTTTCTTTTTTTTTTTTGGAAATTGTTGATGGCAAAAGTAAGATGTGGTACTGTTGACAGTTAACAGGGTGACAAAGTCATGCTGCATTTAGGCATACAGTCCACATCCGTAGTACCGTTTGAGATAAGGACCCTTTCTTTTGGATATTTGGGTGTAAATGTTGAAACATAAAAAATTGCACATCGATTACAATAATATTTTTGATTGCTATAATTTCCTGTGTTGACTTCAGAACTAAATTCAATTTAAAGGAGCTACTTCTACGTTTTTGCTATTGCTACATAGCCAACATTAGCATTAACAATTGTTTACTTACCAGTCTAGAAGAAACATTGTGAGTTCAGTATCAAACTTAAGTCCTTTACTCACCCACAGCTGTCTCTAGCAGTGGAAAGCAACCCTCTTGTTTTGGTTCTAGTTCTCTCACTTCTTTTCTTCTACTGAAGTTAGCACACTAACCAGTTAGCTTGGGCCAACTCGTCACTTTCTGATGTCACTGCTCTGACCATTCTGCCCTGAAGAAGTAGCTGCTCAGAGGTCATATTATAACCTCTTGTCTTGTAAATGCAATGATAACCAAAGCTCTCTGCAAGACTGGTGAGTAAACAGCTGTTAATGCTAATGTTTGCTATGTAGCAATAGCTAAACTTACAAATAGCTTCTTTAATACAACTCTGAATATAAAATTAATAACTTCACAAAAAAGGAGCAGTTGGTTTTTAGAAATGTCTACCTTATATTCCACAATATTTACTTTTAACAATTAGTACAAAAACGACTCCTTCAATAAAACTACATGTTAGACAGTTTTGAGATGAAGAAGCTGTGCAGTTACGATGGCCTAACACCCCCCTCCACATCTGGAGGCTGTTGGATGGTTGTTTCTTTGTGGAAAGGTGTTTCCTTGAAAATGAACCAGCAGTTGCCACCCCACAGGATCAGGTTAAGAAAACCAAAAATCTGCCAAAGATTAACACATGAGTCAAATGTTCCAGGCTGTTGTTGTACACACAATTTTAAGCACACTGGAAAAAGACTACGTTCCACTTACCACTGAGGCGTGTAGTCGGCCCATGTGAGGCATAGCACCCGGGGTGCACTTGTTTTTGTCATCCTTGCAAACAGCAATTAAAGACAGAATGGTTGAAGGACTGGTGGCCCACTTCACATCAGACAAGCCTTTAGCCCAAGCAGAGGATGAGGCCAACCACAGGAAGGTCATGGCCGCTGTAACCAACAGGTCCTAATTGAGCAGCACAGAAAAATAATCAGTAACACACAGACTACAGTGGCAGCTTCACTAAAGGAGCTTTCTTGGACACAGACTACCAAGTGCAATCTGTTTGAAACCGCACCCTTCAACTGTTTCATTTACACAGCTCTGTTAAATGCACTTTCTCTGACCTCCTGCTGGATTCCGGTATGAAGTAGACTCCCTGAAATCCAGCAGCTGATGTCAGATGTTACATTATTTCCACACATTTGACAAAAGATAAATATTGCCTGCTTGGATAAAACTAGATCCACTCAGATTCAGATTCAGAAAACACATTCCTGCGTGAAATGCAACCTTGTGAATTACACACTGTTATTTCATCTTGTTCCATATCTGAGCTATTTATACATGGAGAGGAGGTCCTGGCTAAGGACAAGCATTTCAACAAAACTACTGAGAAATATCGAGAATTCAGACAAACATACCACAATGGGGCCACGACTGGATTCTCTATACAGGTGCTGGTAGCCCAAGTAGAGGACTAGTGTGGCAGTACTGTAAAGGAAGGCCAACACTCCAATGCAGACGAAAAACTCTGCCGAGGATGCATGGTCTCCTGTCAGGTAGTAAGTAGTGGTGGTAGTCTGGTTGATTTTACAGTCAGGAACATTATAAGGATGCTGCATCAACCTGTGTAAACATAGACTAGTTTTAGTTTGAATAATCCTTAAAGTAAACACAGTGAGGCGGTCCCTGGTTTAAGACAGTTTGTGTTTACACACACACACACACACACACACACCTGAATGGGTAGTTAAACACTGCCTGTATTTCATTATTGCCTCCGCCTCCGCATATGATGTTGATGCTGGTTGCGCCGGTGTAACCTCCAGTTGTGGCGAATGCAAATATGGAGAACAGCTGCAGCCACAGACACGAGATAAGAGGAGACACGTTGGCATGAGAAGATGTTCAGGACAGAGCGCTGTTGTTAGTCACACATGTATACACACATACACACACGCACACTTCCTTTATATTTTACGCAACACACTTCTGTCAGGAAGCCGTTGCCTTAGTCACAGGATGTCCATCACTGTAAATTATGTGCACAGTTCACAAAAGAAGCATGTCATTACACTTAAAACCATACGCACTATGCACTGAGCATACAATGTTTGATCCAAAAGTGACACATAACAATACCTCCCGGCAAATAAAAGCTAGCATGTTGTATTGTTATTTGGCAAGACGATATGTCAAGCCAAGCATCAACCTGAACAGTCAGTAACCAAATAAAGCATTTTCTTCGATTTTTAAATGCTCCAGGTGCTAACACACATAACCCGTCAGTTAGAGCCATAAAAAACTAACTATGGTTTTACAGACTGAAATTTCCTTAATTGACAGGCCATAAACTGATCATCGGCCCCTGAACTGCTGTGCATGCCATATTTGAAACGGCGTTACAGCTCAAAGGACGATCTGCATAGCTTCTCCGGGCGTGCAGTGGGTCACATGACAAACAACATAATCAATTTGTAAGACATTTTCACCACCAGGAACGGACAGTTCATGTTAAAAACACACCCCGCCAAAAGCCATATGGTAAAAAAAAAAAAAAAGATTTGGTAAAACTTACCCATTCCAGCAGGCGGATAAATGCCAAAGGCTCCTTCAGAGGTCCCCAGTCAAAACTGAATCCTGAAGTCAGCACTTTCTGATGAGAAATAAAGACACGGTGAGAAAGAAGAATGCGTTACACTGCTCTGAAGTGGTCTAGTGTGTTTGCTACACAAGTGTCGGTCATTATGCGCCATTAACAGTTCTTCCTCTTTCTGTCAGAGCCGTTACCTGGGCGACAGAGTCCATCGTTCCACAGGAGAAAACCACCGTTAGTTTAGATACCCGTTCGCTCGTTTGTGTCTGCTTGTGTCCGGGTTCTTTTGCAGCTCTGTCGAAGCTCCTCGGGTTTGTCAAACTTTTCTCCAACTTCAGCTAATCGTAGTAGAAACCACGTGATCGCTGACGTTAAGGCGTCAAGGAGGGCGCTGCTGGTCAAACACTTTCTACCGAGACTCTATTATAATTTCACCTTCTGCTTCATCACATTGGTCCAGTTTTAAGCGGATAAATCAAATTTTTACGAGCAAAAAGCCAAATTCTTTGGATTGAATTTTTATATCAAACAATACATTTAATCTGCAGTTGAAGATTACCTGATATCTTTTCTTTGCTTTCATCATATTAGTTTCCCTGGCGCATTTATATGCCCAAACTGTATACACTAAGTGTTTTGTTGTTGTTTTTTGCTCCACACTTCCTTGCTTCAATAAGGTTATTTGAAAAGGACCAGGGGAAGAAAGGGGGAGAGTAATTAGAGAGGTGAAAACGGGGTCTTAAAATGAAGTGCATGATTACTTTTGTATCCCCCCCCCACTCCTTTTTTAAGTTGACCATATTGCATATTATGTTAACTGTTAGTCACATGTAGGCCTAATAGTTGTATATTTGCTAACTGTGCAAACATGTTAGGCACACAAGGCAAAGCCATCTACAGTAGTATTTGAGATAAGGGGCACTTTGTTTTAACGTGCAAACTGAGCATCTATGGGAATAATATTTCTCACTGCTACATTTATATTTACATTTATCTTTCCGCTTTTAGTACCTTCTGTACAGCCCTGCAGCAAAAAAAGAGCAGTTGGTCTCCAGAAATGTGCACCCTGTATTCAAATGCATTTTCTGAGTACCACAATGACATCTACAAAAATTGGATATGCTTTTAAAAATAATGCCATGAATCATTTTTATTTATCAAGAAATAAATATGGATAATTATTTCTATATTATTTTACTAGCTGACCTGTATAAATACAGATTGTTGTCCAGCTCTTTCTTGTACATACATTTGCTTCAGATTATGATTCTCATATATGAATAAGCAGGTGCAATGTTTATCACATAATGTTTAAATCCATGATGTCACTGAGCATTATACCAGTAAAGGGCAAGGCAGACAACTGCACCACGGTCCCAAGAACCTGAAATGCCCCAAAAGCCCCAGATTAGCCGTCAGTTAGCTGTAAATAATTTGACTAACTGCAAATTTGTGCCACCAAGGTATAATATCAACTAGGTGGGGTCCTGCACTATTTCCTATTCTTGTCACCCTTTCTTTCTGAAGGGCTTGGGATCAAAATGTAGTTTTAAGACCTTAGTTAATTTAGTTTATGTTGTGTCAATATAGTGCATATCCCTAAAAAAACAAATTAATCAAATTACAGCATACCTGGGGCCAGGTCACCTTCAAGCCCAGAAGTAGGCCTACTAGTTAGTTACTGGGTATATAATTAAACTATGTCTTGTCTTCTGTGTGATTTGTATTTAAATGGCACTTGTGGTAACAGGATACACACACAATACACAGAGGGCAGGAGAAGTGAGCAGGGGGTCTATACAGGCCCAATAACATATTTGTTTTGCTCTAGGGTCCCATAACAGGTTAATCCAGCTGTGGTACTTTATATTTGCTCATGACGGGATGATGATACCAGCCGAAAAGACCCAAAATACTTCATGCTGCTTCCAAAAAAGTAAAATACAAATGCTTGAAATTTTTCAGGCACTGAATAGTTCTGTATTAACAGACAAATGTGTTATCAACAACCAGAAGGCGGTGCAATGCGCTTTCATGCCAGCAAAGGTTTAATAGGGTTATTTTTTAAATGATTTTTGACATTTTGTAACAAACTGCAACAATAAATATGAAAATATCCAACAAGAATTACAGTGTGCAAAGTGTAATAGGGATTTATAACTTATTATTTTTATTTTTACAATTTCTCTCTTTTTTCTTGTTGTTTGTTCATATTTTGTAATTATTATTATTACTTATTATTTATTTTCTTATTTTCTGATATTCGTATTATTTATTTATTCTTTTTTTTTTGTTCTGTAATTTTTTTTTTTTGCTAGTAGATGTAGCTAGGAGGGCTCGAGATATACTAGCTCACTTATCTTACTACGTTTCCTATATCTTTCATCCTTCCAGTAATATCCAATTTTGGGTTGTTACTTCCTTTCCACTAGGCAATGAGTAATTGATCATAAAAAAAGAGTTTGCAAAGTGTAAAATGGGAGTACACAGTGAATGTGCAGTAATGGTGATTATTTTTCACTAGAGGTCACCATTTCCACTATTTGAGCATCATTAAACTGAACTTCTTATCCAAAGCAAGCCATGTGTTTCCCATGACTCCCATCAGTATAGGCTGAACTCATCCACACAGGTTGTCCATGTATTTCCCTCAAAAAAAAAAATAGCTTGTTTTTTTTAGCAGGGAAATTCAGGTACACTTGGTTCCATCCCTTCGTTTGCACAGGTTTTCTCAGCACATTGTAAAGCCAGACAGGAAGTTTTGGGATCTTGTGGAGAGGCAGAGCTCTCATCCTAACAGGGCACATCTCAAAGGAATAAGAGTGGCTTTGTTCACCACCTTTTAATAGTTGACTGGGCTGACATGGGGGAGGGGCTGCAACTCTATTGTACAGTCCCCTTTGAGAAGGAATGCTGCCCTACAGATCAGATTGTTTGGCTTTCTGAGTGCATCCGGGAATCATGAAATTCCCAAGCAAGAGGTATAGCACACACAAAGGACATTCCCAATGTTCCAAGGCAGATTGGAGTGTAGGTGTGGGAAAATGTGGATTCGAGTTCATGGTTTCAGGGCTTTTGAAACCATTGAAACTTGGTCAACGGATTTTTACTTTTGGCTGCGATGAGCTGACACCTTGTTTGTTGCTGCACACCCTCAAACCTGTTGGTCAGGTTGTGCCACGCCAAAAGATAATCAGACACTCACTGTACCGTTGAATCTTTTCAGCCAGGCCAGTGGCAGCTATGGGTGCAGGGATTTTTCTTCTGCAACACATGACCAGTAGTCATGTGTTTGTATGACCCACTGTCCCATCACATGCACAAATTTAATCAAGAATATATGACTCAGTGCGACCAACAAAATGAATAAATAGAATTTGAGAATGGAGCAGGCTGTACAGAAACATCCATTTACAAAAGTTAAGATCATGAGATGGAAAGGTTCATTTTCATTCTTTGACCTTGTTCTTCTTGACACACCTCAGCTATCTCAAAACTGTTGATACTGACGAAGAGACTGAAGTACAGAGACATAAATCAAATACTGGATTCCATGAATCATGTTAATGGTTATATCATCAGGGATTTCTTCCATATCTGCCATTAGAATGGTGCCACTAGTCATTTGTTCCAACAAATTTGAGGACATTCCTTATTTTTTTCTTTTACATTATTGTGTATTTGCACAAACAGAGCTTTTCAGAGACTCTCTCTGGTGGGGAGATTACTAATATTCAGCATGATTTAATCTCTTGTTTGAGCTTCCCAACATCACACCACACCCAGATGTTTAATCCCTGACAAAGTAAACTGTGGGGTATGCGTGTGGAGAAATGACCCTTTCATTTAATAACATGGCATTTAATACGTTACCAAAACCTCATACAATCAGACATAATATTATAGTCATGACACTTATAAACAAAGGCTGGTGAAAGCACACTCTGACTTCGAAGCATGCATACTTTTGTGTCTTTTATGAACATGTGAAATTTCTCTCGATTACATTTTTCTCCATTGAATTGTGTGTTTGCATACAAGATTATGTTTTTAAAAACTGTCATTTAGCAGGTGAAAACATTACATAAGTTTACATGAGGGAAAATAAATTGGAAACATGGCTAAGACAATTTTTTTTTTTTACCCATATTTATTTCTTAAGTTATTTACCTATTAGGCTGTTACATTTTAAGTGACAGAACCTAGTGGCTGGATTGATGGGTATGAGCCAATTAAACTGCACTGCAATTCCACTGCTATTTCTACATGTAATGTCATTATTAATCTTGAATGTTGGCTGTATATCAATAAGCATTTTTTCATCCAAATGCAGTTGATAGCTGATCCAAAAAAAATGTTTTTTTTCTGCTTTAAATGAAGTAGTAGCTGGATGGAATTACATGATAGTATTACTCAACCTATCCTGACAGGCTTTGACAGCTAATTATACAGGTCCTGAGTTTCGGCACCGCCTTTTCAGAAACGAACCAATCAGAAACGCGGATAGGTGGACCACAATAGAAGAGCAGCCAATCACAGCGCCTCCTCTCGGCATAGAGCATTACGGGTCCGCAGACACAATTTGCGCGATCGCTACAGTGTACAATGTTGGCTGAGGAGTTGCAGCGCGAATAATTGGTGTTAAACACCCTCCTTCATTTTCTTTATTGCGATTATTTCTCTGTTTTCACATATTTTCCCTCCTGGCGCGGAAGGAGTCGGAGCCTTGCCGGAGCTCCGTGTTTTCAAAGCGTGAAATAGTCGGTGTCAGGAGGACTACTGTTTTGTTGATGTCATCGGCGGCAGAGCTGTAGCGACCTTCAATTTCCAAGCAAGCCCGGGATAAATAAAGACTCGGTGTGGGGTGTTTTCGTCCTCTTTGTTTTGTTTTCTTTGCCGGTGACACGAGCAACGACGATGGGACTCTTGCTGCACTGTGCTCTGCTGTTATCTCTTTCTACTTTCGCAGCCGGTTTAGATTTTCAGCCGGGATCCCACACCTCCGGACAGTCGGTTTTTGTGAAGCGTTCAAACACCGGAGAGGAGAAAGCTGCGAAAATCGTAAAGAGGTCTCTGCCCGCATGGCTCATTCCATCACCAAATCACAAGATTAAACGGAGGAGCACCGACCAGGGCGACTCCTGCCAAGCTCTTCAAGAATATGGCACCAAGTTAGCAGACAACACCCACCGTGTAAGTTACCTACTGAGAGGTCCCGTTACACTCCGCACGTCTGACACTTACATGAGCCGAGGGAGGAGGATGATGCGCAGGTGCTAACCAGGTGCACGAATAGGCCTAATCAGCTATCCGGTGTACTGAGAAACCTAGCTACTGATGGGCTGTTTTCCATTCAGCTGTAAAACCCTGCAGCCCGGGATGTCTGCTAGATGGATATGACACTGTAGGTTTATTTTTCCTCCTGTGAAACGCCATTAAAACATCATTGTATCATCATCAAACCTTTCTACAAGCTCATAAAGCCACTAGAGGAATCTTCCTGTCCTTCTGAGGGCTACCACGTCAGGGCTGCCAAGATTTGTTTTCTTAAATATTTGGTGCAGTGAAATACAGTGTAGTGAAACTGTAACAACGCCTCTGTTCCTCATACTTTAAGATGTGCGCAGGCTACACAGAAGCACCAGCAAAACCTCTGTCAAATGCTCCAGCAGTGGCTATGACCTATATCTCATTGTTGCTGTAGTCTGTGTCAGAGGATCCACTTTTCTCAGCCTGACAGAGAGTGAATCTGTCCCAGTGTTGACAGGAAAATTGGCCCTGGGGAATCCATGTGACTAGCTGTGTGGTAGTGATTTTGTAATTAAATGCTGTGTTTGTGTGTTAGTGAAAGCAGGCAGCCAGTCTGTCAGGAAGCAGAGACTACAGTGGAGAAGTACAGTAGAGAAGAGAGGGCTAAATTTGGACTCCACAAAGAGAAAGCAACCCATTTCTGCATCTCATAAAATATCTACACAACTGTGCACTGCTCTACTCAAAACAAACAGGCTGGACAGACTCAGCAGAGTCCTGTTCTGCCTATTTGCGTAGCACCTCATCGCCATGTGATCAACTTTGCATTGCAGTCTTTGTATACTTGGCCTCAGTAATCTGAAGTCGACAGAATTCCTAGAGGCTGAGCCTTGTCATTCCCCTGGAGGTTTCTGCTGCAGGTCCCACCTGTGCTGGAGTTGCTTACAACATGAGCTGCTGAAAAAGACCTGCCTCAAACAGATTGTGAATGTCCACACAGTTGAAGAGTGATAGGCCACTGAATGGAAAACATGATTCTAGACTTTGATTTCAGGCAGAAGGGGAAGCATGAAGTTTTTTTTGTTAGAGCCACACTCCTAAAATGACTTGATTTACTCTAAAATAATCAGAGGAAAATCTCATTCTTCCACCTCAGTTTTAATGTGGTGTTCAGGAGTTGTATTCAGAAGTCTTTCCTGAGAGCAGTGGCCTTGAAGCCTTGTGCTTGCTGAAATGCTTGTCTGTTCTGTCCTAAAAAGTGAAGTGGTACTTCATTTTTTTACACTTAACCATCTGCTGTTTGCTTGAGCACATGGTGAGAGGAAACATGGCACCAGTCAAAGCAAAAATACAGTCAGGAGGCTAAATTCACAAAGACTGCCGTTTATAATTGTGTGGTCAGTTGGTCCCTTTGACCCTTTTCATAGTGAATTATTCACAGTGCACAATACTCCTCAATCTGTTTATTCTGAACATATTTTACATACATGGTGATGTTTTTGCTTTTTTTTCCACAGTACACCTTCAATGACCTGAGTGGTTCAGTGTCGCTGGCCTGGGTTGGAGATGGCACGGGGGTGAGTGCTGCACTTGTCTCGCATGCATGGTTGTTCCACTGTGACATGAGTAGGGCTAACTTGGGTGGGTTACTCAGTGAACTGTATGAAATTGACAGGCTAGTCTGCCTGCATACATGACATAATAAGTTCCCTCACATCAGAGTCTCATGCATAACAATAGATGATCCATGCTCCACTCAAGATTAACCCTCTTTCCCCGACAGGTCATCCTGGCTTTGACCACTTTTCAGGTGCCCTTCTTCATGATAAGACTTGGGCAGTCCAAACTTTATCGAAGGTAATTCTTATGACCTCACCTGTTGGAAAAAAAAAAAAACAAACAACATAGTTTGTATTTGATTTGCATGTAATTTGGCTGCAACCATTTGTCCACCAGTGAGAATTATGGGAAGTCATTCCAGGATGTCACCAACCTCATCAACAACACCTTCATCAGATCAGAGTTTGGCATTGCTATCGGCCCCGAGAACTCTGGGAAAGTAAGTCATGACCTTATCAAGTCCTCAACACATTTATTTTATATAGTCATCAAGAGTTTTCACAAATGTAGTGCTGCTATAATGCATCCCTAACACCCTGCCATCTTACGTGGCTTCATCAATCTGAATTCTGGACTCTGGATTCCAGGTGATCCTGACAGGTGACGTGTCCGGAGGTCACGGGTCTCGGATCTTTGTCTCTGATGACTTTGGGAAAAGTTTCACCCACAGGGACCTGCCCTTCATCCCCCTGATGCAGATCACATACAACCCTGATAACTCCAAAGTGCTGCTGGTCCTCAGCAACAACGTAAGTAATGAATGATAATGTTGTTTGGAGAGTAATCAGTTTGGATGTCAGTTGACCTCACAGAGAGAAGAGCATAAGAAGAGTCTATATAAACATGAAAACTCCCGTTCTGTTGGTGGGGATCTCAGTTTACTAGTCATTTTAAATTTATCATTCATTTTAGAGGGTGAGCGACCTTTTTCACGGTCAGTTATAAAATCCTTAAGCAGAGGTTGGACCACCATCCCACCTCCACATAGCAAGAAGGCTCCCATTGGTTAATCATTTTTCATCATGTGTTTGCACAGAGTACATTCATTAACATGGCTGTGGTGTTTATGAGCAGGTCTGTTCGAGCTGTGTGAAGAGTGGTGTTGTTGCAGGTGATTTAAGACATTGTTTTTTTTTTGTTGTTGTTCATCTTCAGAATGAAATGTGGCTGTCTGAAGATTTTGGCAGCAACTGGAAAAAGGTGCATGACATGGTGTGTCTGGTGAAATGGTAAGAGACAAGACAAACAGATGGTACAGGCACCGTAGTCAGGTGCGCAGTGAACAAACACCAGTGTGATTCAGTATGCCCACGAGTCTGTGTCTGAGTGAAGTATTCCTGTTCATGGAGAGTAGGAAGTGGTGGAGGAACCCCATTCTTATTGGTGGGGCATATAGCAAAGACTTGAAAAACCCATATGCTCTCTTTTAGTCAGTTGTCCTTCGCTGTAATTTTAGTTCTTTCATCAAGCTAATTATTACAGGTAAGCGAAGACAACTGAGTGCCACCTCTCTATACTGAGTTTTATTGTTCATTGAACAAATATATGTCACAGGTCTGCCTATCTACCCTCCTTTGCTGATAGTTTGGAGGATTTTAATGAATATTTAATTATCCCGAAACATGTTCACAGGTTTACTCCCGAGACTTTTATTGTCGCTGCACCTTTGCCTGTAAAACGGTATCGCAGTCAGTGAGTGTTTGACTAGCTCTGTTGTGACCCAGCCCTCTCAACACTCCTGTTGTTTTCGGAGGCACTCCCTGGTATGCATTGCCTAGTGACCTTTGGATCCTTAAATATCTTTTTGGTTTCAGTTTTAAAGCTGTGTTTTCAAGGTCGCCATGGCTGATAACATCATAGGTCCAAAACAGACTTCCTGAAACATAACCTTTTATCACGGAACAGGTAGCAGGAAAATGGGTCATTATCAACTGAGATGTCAAAACACAACACTCAAAAGCAGAAGTGCATTTCTGTATGCTGGTTATTTGATAAGCTGTGTCATGTGATGTTTACTTTCACAATAAAAACAAAACACAGCATTATGGGAATAGACAGGAGACTGTGTGAAGAATCCCGTATGAGACCAGGTTTCTTCCTGGTGCAGAGTTTTCCAGCCTGACTTTGTTTATTGAGATGCAAGCACACTGAGAACTATCACATCATTATCAACAAAGTAATCCACATCTGTTGTGCTCACATATCCTTGACTCTGTGGAGCCAAATGTGCGTCTGCTTATCCCAAACTCTCTGCACTGTCCGATTCTAGGGGAAGGAAGAATACCATCTTCTTTACAGCCAGCCTCAACGGATCCTGCAGTAAGTGAGCCGCTCTTTAAGCAAAACCTGAAATGAAAAATGACCTTGTGACAATTCAGTCCAGACCTACGTTCGACCTCATCCATTTATGTATGTACATGTAGATTACTGAGGGACAGCACATGGGATAAAACCAAAAAAAGATAAGCGCCTACGTGTTTTTATTGACACCTCTATTCTCCAGTGATCAACTGGATTTGGATTGGATGATGAATAAAAAGAATGAAATGACAATTGGTATCAATATAGCCGATGATCCCGGCCTGTTGAAGCTTTTTGTTCCTTTTAATTCTACACATATATTTTTAACTTTTAGTTACACTTTGCATACTCGCACTTTGCACTTTTATTTCAACGTTTTTTTTGTCAGGTGATCGGGGAATGCTGGAGCTGAGGAGGACGACAGACTATGGTAAAACCATCAAGACTGTGGCCACTAAGATCTACTCTTTTGGCCTGGGTGGACGCTTCCTCTTTGCCTCTGTAATGACGGGCAAGGTCAGTACACAGTAGGTCCATATAGACACGAGATCATGCATCCTGAGGCCAGATATTCATTGATTTATACCTTTTGTGTTTGTAAGACAAATTTGAAATCCAGTAAGCAGTTGTGAGGTGAGACATACACCGCACCTCCGGACTGTTTTCGTGACATTGAATTTCAAATTAAGTGCTGGCGTTCTTTGCTGTAGCGTTGGTCCTTTTCAGTAGTCACAATTGAAGGGGATGTGGTTGCAGAAAATAATATGAAGTAAAATACGTTCATGTTTCCTCCTCAGTACTGACAGTATTTACTGAATTACCTGCTGTATATGCTAAATCAATTTGCTACACTCAAAATATGTAGTTTTCAAGACGCATATCGTGTGCTTACGTATGCATGGCTCTGTTTCCCTATAACGTTAATCAAGTTATATTTATTTTTTTCCCGTTCTTTCTCTCATCCCCCCCCGTTCTCTCTCGTTCTGTCTGCCTCCCTCTATTTCTTTCTGTACCGCGTCTTTCTCTGCAGGGGACTCTGAGGATGATCCACGTGTCAGTGGACCAGGGTGAGACGTGGAACATGGCCCAGCTGCCCCCTGTTGGCCACGAGCAGTTCTACTCCATCCTGGCAGCGAACGATGAAATGGTCTTCATGCATGTTGACGAGCCGGGAGGTCAGTCCGTACGGCAGCGTCACGCCTTCACTCTTCGCGCTGTGTGTAATAAAGCAGTAATGCTATTTAAGAGACAGATGGTGTGTTTGCACCTGTAGGAAATGTAATTCAAAAACTATTAATTACATGTGAATAAGGTTGAGGGAATAAGTAAATGCGAATTACTGACTTGTACTACAGGTCTTACACTTCTGAGGTGCAACAATGTGGTTTTCTGTGCATAAGGTGTGAACCCTATCTCACATTTTTAAATCTTGGAAAACACATTTATGAATATTATATTTAACCTACATAATCTTTTCTCACAGCAGACGTGTTGACTCGTCACAGGTTTCATTAATAACATTAACAATGGCTGTGTTCTATTCAAGTGTCATGACTATGTGACAGTGAACCGGTATGCACAATACCCAGACCCTGAAGTTGTGACACACTTTCAGTGAAAAAGGCCAAAAATATTCAGACAACCCTGTTTGTGTACTTTTGTTCTCAGGGTGTTTTTCATGGTTTGAACTAGGCCATTTATTTCCGATGAAAGAAAATGTAGATTTCTGGGATGAACTAGAACACCTGACTGCAAGCCCGGGCCCTGTCTCCCAACGCTAGTGGCCAACCTCACTAATGGTCTTTTAGCTGAGCGCGATGCATGCATCAGCAGGGTTCCTAAAAGAGTGGAGGTTGTTATAGCAGCGTATAAATGTCCATGGTTATGGAATGTCATATTCATGTGTCACATACGGGTGTTATGTTTGGGTGTCCACATAATTTTGGCCATGCAGTGAACTTGCACCGCATAAATTAAAGTGCCTCATTATCTGTTATAACCATCAGGACATTATTTCATATCACCAGCTCTGAAACGCTGCATGTGAATGTTCTCTTCGGTGTGTGTGATCCTGTTTGTTTTTTTCTGTCTGTCCACAGATACAGGCTTTGGTACCATTTATGTATCAGATGACCGGGGCACCGTGTACTCTAAGTCACTGGAGCGGCACCTTTATACCACCACGGGTGGTGATACAGACTTCACCAACGTCACCTCCCTGCGTGGAGTTTTCATCACCAGTGTCCTGGCTGAAGGTAGCTCTATACATGTGTCTGTGCTTAGATAAAGGAGTAGCAACACATGCCTATACTCAAATTCCCCTAGAAACACACACACACACACACACACACACACACACACACACACACACACACACGTATGACTTCTCCATTACATACTGGAGCGAGGGCGTTGGGTAAATATTTAATTAGCTGTTCAGTGTTAGATGTGCAGCTGGCTGACACTTGAGCAGAAATATCTCACATCACCAGCTAAATCTTAACTCCATCATGTCTGCACTCTGTATTTTCTGCTGAAAATCACTTCTGTTTGCCTCCCTATATTATAATCCCTCCACTCATGACCACTCTGTGTATGATTATTGCCCAGGCCGTATGGGTCTGACCCTTGCATTGCTTACTCTTGCTCACTTGTAATTTTGGGCTAACTGAGCCTAAGCTTTTTATTTTCACACATTGTTTCTGGAGTGCAGTGTGAGCTAAATGTTGCAGATCAGCAGTAAATGTTCTGTCTGTGTCTGTTCTTGTTGTTGCAGGTGACTCTGTGCAGTCTGTGGTGTCTTTTGATCAGGGAGGAGAATGGGTTCCCTTGAGGAAACCTGCCAACAGCAAGTGTGATGCTACTGCCAAGGACCCAGAGAAGGTAAATTTAAAAATACAGAAAAAAAAAAAAAAAAAAGAGGAAATGGTGTTTCTTGAGAAAAAAACAAAGATAAAAAGTGGATCAGTCTTGATGAAAAACTTTTGTAAGCTGTAGCGACAGATTGGATTCTGTTGAATGATGAATTGACTTGGATTGCACTGGATTGCAGTGTACATGGCAGTGTTGGTTATTTTTCATCTCCAGTCAGCGACTTTCACCGTGTTGGTACTATTAACATCCAGACACCAAATGCTGATTGTGTTTATTCCTACAGTGCAGTCTCCACATCCACGCAGCGTACAGCACTGCCATGAGGCTGAATGTCCCCATGCTGCCTCTGAGTGAGCCAAATGCTGTGGGCCTCATCTTAGCTCATGGTAATTCCCAGTTCAGAGCTTTCATACCAAATTTGTCCAAGTTTTGTGTGAGATAACCTGGAAGTTACTGATCTGGTTAAACATATTTCATCAGGGAGTGTTGGTGATGCCATCTCAGTGATGAGGCCGGATGTGTATGTGTCTGATGATGGAGGGTACACCTGGATAAAGGCCCTCGATGGACCTCATCACTACGCCATCCTGGACTCTGGAGGACTGCTGGTGGCTGTGGAGCACAGCCCCAATCAACCTGTCAACCAGATCAAGTGAGCTACAGTTACAGGGAATGGGGGAGTTTGGGTTTGACCTGTATTAGCTGATGCTAGGAGACGTTTCTGTGCTCTATTTGTCCTCTGAATTAAATTTAGTCTCACAGTAATAGGCCTTTTTTCACAGCAGACATTTTAACTTTCACGGTAGAAAAAGCACAGGCCTTACTAATAACATTAACGATGGCTCTGTTCTATACAAATATCTCACTAACAGTGTGACCTTGAGCCGGCATGCACAATACCGAGACCCTGAAAATGAAGCAGCTAAATGGAATTCGGCCATCATCAATTTTATTATTTACACCTGTGCTTTTCCTACTGTGTCGTGTCAAATGTTTTCAGTGAAAAAGCTGCTGAACAAGCAAACTGAGCTGTGGACTCCCAGACCTCCACAATATCAGCTAAGACAGAGAGATTTTCTTAAGCAGTGTTAAGCGCTGTTTCCCAGGTTCCCAGTGGAACAGTTCACTACGCTTGGATAAACTCTCTATAGCCTTCGCAACAGTGGTGTGGTGGAGTGGCCATCAGTGATCCACGACTTTTCCCGGTGGGTCGCTACACAAATTGGGGCAGCGGCTCAGTGTGAAAGAAATAAACTATCAGAGAGAGAGAGAGAGAGAGAGAGAGAGAGAGAGAGAGAGAGAGAGAGAGAGATGAGAGAGAGAGAGAGAGAGAGAGAGAGAGAGAGAGAGAGAGAGAGAAGGGTGTGGCTGTGTGGTGATCAGCCCAGTGGAGCAGGCTGCACGGCCCACTCTGATTCTGTGGCCATCATCTCCCTCACGTCTGCCTCCTCAGCAAACTACATTTGGTCCCGAAGCTCCTTCCACCCACTTACCCTTTATGTGTTGGTATCTTTATCATTGTTTAAACATTGAGGCTGCAGTGGACTGTTGCTGACTCACTTCACATGACTAACAAAGTAAAAAAAACAAAGGTCCGGCTAAAAAGCTCAGAGAAAAGAAGTTACAGCCCAGAAAATCTAAATTGCGTCAAATAGCTGTGGATCTATCAGCTCAGCTGAAACTCTGCAGACAACACAGAGGAGCAGAGCAGCAGAGAGAGTTCAGGACCAGTAAGTCCAGAACAAACACCAGTCAAGTTTTACAGCATAAGCGGTAGAGAGAAGACAACAGGAAGCTTGTCTGAGTTTATTTAGCAGGATAATGTTGTACAGCTTCTTGTTTAATCAGAAATTCTCATGTGCTGATGGAAGAACTCTAAGTCTGTGAGATTCACTCAGATCTACAGAATTTTATTACACAGACATCCAATGAGATGATAGATTTAAAATATGTCTGATGTTGTATTTACTGCTGTACTAGTCTGAATTCTAGTCTCACCCTCTCTCTACAGCTACTGACTGGAGTGGAAAGTGTAAAATACAGATAAAGCTTCATACAATGCTAATTGAACAGTTATAGTTATTAATGGTCAGTTTTTGTTGAGACTTGTTAGTGTGTTGACTCAGTTGTATGGTCATTTTTTGAGGCGGTAGCTGCTGTGTTGTTGTAGTTGTGGACTGTAATATGAAAAGGTGTTTCTCATACAGTTCTTCTTCACAAACTACAGTTATAAAATCACCATAAAATCCGTAATTAAACTATATAAAATATAATGTATAATATATAAAATTATATAAATACAATTCATGTGCAGCTGTTCATTTAACTTACTGCTTACTACATAGTTCTTGTATAGTGTTTCCCCCGTCTGCCAGTGTCAGAAAGCATGTGGTGATTCTTATTCCCTCCCTGCTCTGCTTTGTAGTTCTGTCTTTGGAGGGGATCAAACTATAAGACAAGTCTAAAACCTGTCTTTCTTTACATTAATATGATATGTTAAATGAACATTGTATCAAAGCAATAGCACATTTGACGTCAGCCTTGTGCTTTCTATACATCTTATTCTCTACCACTCCCTGTCATATGTTATTGCTTTACTTTCAAGTGTCTTGATGCTAATGTTTGTACATTTTTCAATGTCCTGACAGGTTTTCCACCGATGAAGGACAGTGCTGGGGCGTGTACAACTTCACCGACGACCCCATCTACTTTACTGGGCTGGCATCAGAGCCGGGAGCTCGCTCTATGAACGTCAGTGTCTGGGGCTACAGAGACTCCCTCCTCAGCCAGTACTGGATCTCCATCACCATTGACTTCAGGGATCTACTCACCAGAGACTGTGAGTGACCGGATACAAATATGATGTTATTGTACTTGTGTAAATTTAGAGATCTTTTGTCATCATTTTGTGATTTGTTTGCGATCACATGTAAACTGAGCCCAGAATATTGACTCTTTTTTTAGGTGACGACAATGACTATGTGCAGTGGTTGGCACACTCGGATGACATCAGCGACCCCAACGATGGCTGCATGCTTGGCTACAAAGAGAAGTTCCTGCGTCTCAGAAAGGACTCTGTTTGCTGGAACGGACGAGATTACCAGGTCAACACCCAGCCGACCCCGTGTCCGTGCACCCTGGATGACTTCCTGTGGTGAGACTTTGACCTCCACGCTCAAAATGTCAAACTCCACCACTCAAATACATCCGAGCAGACGTCACTGGATAACGTTCAGTTTAAATGTATTTTTGGTGACTGGTTACAACTGTTATGTTCTGTTCTTAGGCTTCTGCTCTAGGCGGAGACCACAATATCCTGCTGAAGTAGAAGTGCAAATTTGGCTGTAAATGTTTCTACTGTTTGACTAGAAGAATTACTGTAGATCATTCATATTTTATTCAAACTCTGTTTCTGGATGCAGAGGATGCAGTTTAAAACATAAACTAAAGTAAGATGAGGAGGGTCCACATTAAACATGCCAAGCTGCTATCAAATAGCAGTGTGAAAGAATCCTGCAGCGTGTGTTTACTTTAGGTGAAAAATAAATTGTGGCTTCAAACAGAATTCAGAAAGTACAAGTGCTGAGCCGAACAACCAACGAGGTTATTCCTTCCGCCTTTGCCTGTCACAGTGACTTCGGATACTACCGTCAGGAGAACAGCTCGGTGTGTGTGGAGCAGCCGGACCTGAAAGGAAAAGTGCTGGAGTTCTGTCTGCACGGCAAAGAGGAGCAACTGCAGACTAGTGGGTAAGGCTCCAGCTTCAGAGGATCTCTGTGTGTCAGTGTTGCTGGTTTAATCCTGGTTTATTACATAAAATCAATCAATTATGAGAATAATATCACCTCATAAACAAGTAATGTCCCTGTGACAACGTACAGGAGGAAGCAGTGAATGTGCTGACACCACGTGACTCACTTTAACTAGTCTGCTTGATAATTATCTTTGTTTATTCTCTTGACCCGTCTTGCCTGAGTAGTGGAAGTAATAAAAGGTTAATTTTGCAGTAATGGTGTTGAATAGTTTTGATTCTTTGTAGTCCATTTATCTATGTGCAATATTAAAACAGATACTTTATATATATATAAAAGTGTAAACCAGATTTTGAATGAGGCCATCAGCACTGTCATGTTTTATGCCAGAGAGAGTGACAGAGGATTGGCCTCAGTGTCAGTCCGAGTCAGAGGAGACGAGTGATGAGAATGAGGAAGTATGTGTCATGCAGAGAGCAGTCAGAGGAAGCAGACGAGGAGAGTGAGTCTCATGTCTTCGTTGTGGAAGAGTGAATGTTTTTGGTAAATGATGTTTGCCTCACTGTGCACACACTGGCTCAACAGAAAATGAATAGCTGTTGGACTGTCCCTGAAGACTCCAGTTAAAGCATTATGTGCAGCAGGTAGGGTAGGCTGTTGTATTGATACAGGTTAAAACTAGATTTACGTATTGTCTGCCTCCGCCACTCAGACCAGTCTCAGGTTACATCCCTGTTTATCCAGAGTCATAGAAAATATCAACCATTTGAGTGGAATTTTGTCATAATTGCTTTGTGATGTCTTGGGTTATGGCTAAAAAGTGTTTCGTCAGGTCATACTGACCTTGACCTTTGACCTTTGACTACTAAAATCTAATCAGTTTGTCCTTGATTCGTAGTGAATGTTCGTCCCAAATTTGAAGTAATTCCCTCAAGGCGTTATGGAGATATTGCGTTCACAAGGCCAAAACCATGTTTTGCGAGGTCACCGTGACCTTGGCCTTTGACCTTTTACCACCAAAATCGAATTAGTTCATCTTTGCGTCCTAGTGAATGTTTGTACCAAATTTGGAGAGGTTCCTTCAAGGCGTTACTGAGATATCGTGTCCACGAGAATGGGACGGGCCGACGTCGCTGGCGCGGAGGCATAAGAAATGAACACTCACAACAACAACAACAACAGGGAGCTGTTTTAGCCTCGTCTTACGTTTTTTACATTACAGTGATTTAAGTGTATCAGAGCCGAGGCAAGCGCGACTGTTTTTTCACATGTAAAAATATGTAAACAATGAGCAATAATAATATCACCACTGTGCTCTCGGTCCACAGCTACAGGAAAATCCCCGGAGATAAGTGTGAGGGAGGAGAGATGCCTGAGCGTAAAGAGATTGACCTCAGTAAGAGGTGTGTGAGCGACCTGGTGGGCCCAGAACTTCTGGTCAGTTCCTCTGCTTCGTCACACTTCTTGAAAAATGTTATGATTATAGATTTAAACATGCTGTACGTTTGCCTACAGTATATCTGTTGCTGTATTACCACTTTCTGTCTGTTGTTATTTTTACAGATAGACAGTCACTCCTCCAAGTCTGTGCCCGTTGTGATAACAGTCATCATCATCATCATGCTGCTGAGCGTCGCAGCAGGAGTCGTCTTTGTCAAGAAATATGTGTGTGGCGGCAGGTTAGTGTTTCCTTCTGATTTATAGGTCCAGTTCCTAAACAAAGACCTGTCTGGAGGAGAACATGTGCGGCATGGCAAACTGTATCTTGACTTATTTAGAGTTAGCGCTCTTCCTCTCTTGGCTTTCCTTGTGTTTTATGTGTCGGATGGATGTGTTTTTCAGATGATTGTGACGTGACAGTGTTTTGAATCTGCCCCTCAGGTTCTTGGTTCACAGGTACTCCGTGCTGCAGCAGCACGTTGAGGACAATGCTGCCGAGGGGATAGACGAACCGCTCGAGACCAACCACACTCAAAACGGCAAGATAGAGTTTCACGACGACTCAGATGAGGTACGGTGGATATATTTCCCTCACTCATATACAAGTCAGGATAGAGAGATGGGTTCAAGGTTTTCCTTCTAAATTTGGGCCACACACTTTGACGCTAAAGACAAATATCCGAGTTTTATAGGCATTTATTCATGTGAATGAATTATCACCAGAGAACAGCAGAGAATAATCGTTACTGTTAAATCCGCTCTGGAAACTTCCAGATGCTGTGAGCAGCAAACACTATATTGATGTCAGGACTAGGGGAAAAGTTCTTTACTTGGATTTATGGATGTAGAAATACAGTAAATCCTTTTCATGTTGTGGGCCTGTTTAACCCTTACTGGGGGGGGAAAAAAACTCACCTGGCATCTTTTTAAATAATTCAGCATCGTCTAAGGTTTCCAAAACATTGCAACATGCAATGACAGCAGCTCTTTTATGATTCTTTGTGATTTGGTCTTAGCGAGTTAGGAATCCTCTCCACTACTTCTAACTTCTCCCAGACTGACACACCATTTATTTTTAGGAGTTTCTCCTAAATCAGCAAGTTAAGAGCTACTTTTAGCCTTAACATGTGTTGTGAATACAGGCCCTGGTGTAGTACTTAGTGCTGACTTTAGAATCTCCCACTGTACTGAAGCTCAAGTATTCAAACTATAAATAAAAATGCAAATGTAAATGTGATAGTGACACTGTTTCTAAATTACTTCAAACATATCTTTGGCATTGCGGCACTGCATTGTGGGAGGAGACAGTCTATGCGATGTTTGCCCCTTTCAGTTTTTTCAAAAGTGAAAACAAGTTTTAGAATACAACAGTAACCAGTAAGGTTTAAGAGGAAGTTAGAAAATTTACATAAACTGAGCCGATAACTAGGTCACCTGAGTTATCGAGTTAGGTGTGTGTGTGTGTGTGTGTGTGCAAACATGACTAAGATGGTTTCTTGTTTGCTCACCTGGATTGGTTCTGCCTTCATTGGTATGTCACTTTCTTCCCTGTGCACAGGACCTGCTTGAATAGCAGGCACAACCTGTCATGCAACTAAGCAACGGGTTTCCAGTCCTGCCCGTGGACGGCCGCTGTTCCTGTCACTCTTTTGTCTCCAGCTACTTCTTCCTTTCACCTTCTAGTATGAACTTTGGCCTCAGCTACCAGACGAAGAGTCTGTGTCACTCTGCTGTCATCTGTGAAGTATAATGAATGTACGGAGGCGTCCTGGGACTAATGCACAGTTGAGGAGAACTAAGGAGGTCTTGTAGTGTTGTGCTTCAGTTATTGATTCTATTGATTGAGTTTGAATCTTCAAGTTAAACGAAGAACTGATGCAGTAATTTGAACTGCTTACAGAGCCAGAGTAATGGGTTTTGAAGAAAAGCGATTTGTATAAATTCACCACCATTGCATTACGGGTCCTGCCTCTCCCGTCACCTGGGAGTGCTCCTGGAAATACTTTTCACTTCTGTTGAAGCTCTGTGTCCTTTTTCTCATGCACTTGTACATAAACCTGTTTTTTTCTTCTTCTTTTTTTTTTTTTGTTGCCATTTTTGACGTGGTATCAGTTTGGAAGGTGTTAAAAAGATTGCTGTAGGAAGCTGGTAAATAACTCTCCCAAACCACTCGAGTCTTAATCCCTACTTTTAATAATTATTTGTCTGTCAAAAAGTGTCTGGACGGCCAAGAATACATAAATATTAGGTATTTCAGCCTCCTCTCTTGGCACTGATTTATGAAATCCCTCGTTCTAGTCTGTACATGGAATACAAGCCTGCATACTTTAGGTACTCCATGGTGTTGAGATCCATGGTCAAAGTAATAAGACACAAGTGGACATTTCCATTTGCATTAGGATTGATAGCAATAACATGTTTAGATCCAGTATATTATCCATGCACGGTAAATAACCCTATTGGCAGAATATCTCTTAAGGTCTCCACTTGCTCCATTCGATGAATGGAGACGTTTTTGTGTGTAACACATTATGCATCAGTGTATAGGGTGGTAAAGTGTGTCTGTTTAAAGACAGGGTTTGTTAAAACATTAATGTCTGCAGTTCTAACTGCCTAAAGCACAAGGTCCTTTGTATGCTAAGAGTTTGTAGTTTAACATTTTTCCTAAATGTGACGTAACGATAAATGTGATAATACTGTAATAATCACTGTAGTCATATACGAGTTGTGTTTATAATCATTCGAGCCGTTTTTTGTACTAACAAACTTTTAAACTTCCGTGGCAAATGACAAAGATGTTAAGAAATGGCTCAAATAACTATAGTTTGATAGTAAATGTCAACAGATATTTTTTACGACGCATTCAGATAACCCAACACTCCAGTGTAATTTGGTGACAGAAACACAGGAGCAATTCAATAATGTAAATGTTGTATAGCATAATTAACACTGTAGCCTATTAGTTAACAGACATGGTTCTATAAGCTGCAACACCATGCGAGACTGTTGGGGTTTTTCTTTCTTTTGGTATTTGCATCTGCTGGAACAAACACTTAAAATAACTGGATTATGGAAAGTCTCTCATCGGGCTCTTTTTGGGTAAACTGCTGTTTTTTTTCTGTTTAATCACTGCTGTCATTTTGAAGCTAAACTGGAATGGCCAATGCCTCTCTACAGATCTGTCTTCATCAGATCATGTCAAGTCTTACAGGATTTTTTTTTTTCTTTTAAACATTTGTTGCACAATCATTTGTCTGTCTTGTTTTAAATGTGTTGCTTTCATGCAGGTTTTATTTATTTGTGACTAGCAGGTTTGGAGTGCAGTAAACTGGATGTGGTTATGCAAGTGCCTGGTGTGAGAACATGATGTGAGGCCCTTCCAATGTGTGGCCAGCATCTATTTACTGATAATTATTTATATCAACTCATGTGTAACCAGTTTCATCCAGTACAGCAGTGACATCCCGTAGCTGCACTTGTTGACAAAGATGAAGTCTGTTTCATGTGGGCTCCCATTGAACTGCATGTTAACTCCACAGAGCTCCATAAAGAAAGGAGCCTAATAATAATATAATAACCTGGTTATTCTCTCTTTTCTGCCTTGGCATGAGACTACATTCAGGCTGTGATAACTTGACAAGAGAGTCAACTCAAATAAAAAACACAGAGTGGATACAGGGTTATTATGCAGCTGCTATACACTGGGAGATTGCTGAGTTCTTATTTAAAGAGGGTTTATTGCATTAAGTGAGGGTAACACATTTTCTTACAGTTTAAAACTGCTGTATAAATTAATAAGTCATTGTGATGGTTCTGTAAATATACAAGGTTACATCTTTGTATCTGCTATGTTTCTCTCTTCTGTATATTTGAGGCAATTTTCTTTGGGTTTGCCAATAAATTCATACGTTCCTCTACTTTTCTCAGCCGACTCTTATTTCTAACTAACAGCAATGGGAAAAATATGAAACTAGACAATTAAGCCCTGTAATTATTTTTGTATTTCTGTATTCCCCTGCCATTACCACATTTATTTTTCTGTATATTCATTTTATATCTTGCTTTGTATAGATATGGGAATAAGTGAATAGGAAATAAATAAGGACATCAACAAATCAATTAATCGGTGAATAAACATAAATAAATGAACAAAACACAGAAAAAGTTAAATAAATAGCTGCAATACAAAATATATTTTATTTGTTAGACTTGTTTTCCCTGTGTGTAGCCTGAACAGTGCTCATCAGTGCTCATCAGTGCTCTGTTCCAAAAGTTGCTGAGTTGATTATGATAAGTGTAATATTGCCAACCCTGAGCATCAAACATTGTTAACTGACAGTTCAACAAAAAGTCCTTAGATTCTATACAAAAAGTTGCCCTCTGTGTCAAAGAAATCATTCCCAACTTGCGCCACAGGAGGAACGGCCTTCTGCATTTCCATAAACTCTTCAAGTTCTTCTTCTGTCAACACCTGTCCATCCCAGCTCTCCTCTTCCTCTGTGTCCTCCTCTGCCGCAGCTGTGTTGGTAGTTCTGTCTTCTTCTGTTGATCTTGTCACTGTGGCGGCTCTACCGACACCAGCTGTGACCTGGGGGGGCAGAACAGTAACAGGGGCAGGACTCGTGGCCAGGGACCCTGAGCTTTCTCCTCGTATCACTGGTGTGTGGTCAGCCGCAGAGATTAAAGCACCTTCTCTACTTCCAGATGAGAGTATGGCTGGTGCACAGTTACCAGGCAGCTTCAGTCTGTCCTTCCCTGTCCCAGCACCTGAAGGCAGCATCTGCCGACCCAGTCTAGCCATTACTTTGGCATCCTGCTTGGATTTTCTTTCAGGAGATGGGACGAATTTGTTCCTGAGGACCCGCAGGATGACATCAGGGGTGACAGAGAAGCCCTGAGCTAGACGATCTACTGTCCACTCCTCTGGTTGCTCTTGCTTCAGATATCTGAGAATTGATCAACACTTAATTTAAAGCCTATATTAAGTGAATGATACTTATTGATTAAGCAGCTGGGCCGACTTAACGGAGCTCCTCACCTGATCTGCTCAATAGTATCCCAGGTTAGTTTCCTCTGTGGAGCTCCTGGTGCAGTCATCTGCCTCCTCAGTATGTGGTATTTCACAGTCTTCTGCCTCTTCCTCCCTTCACTGAAAAACATGGGAGACATGGTTTTAAAGTGTCACAGATTGTACACACAGCATACAACATTCAACACTCAACACTGGAATAAAACTCCTGCTGACTCTTACTCATCCAAGGCCTGGAGCTTGTCTTCTACATCCTCTACATCCTCCAGTCCAAATTCCTCCTCAGACATCTCATCGCTGTATCTTGGAGCTCTGCTTGAGGCTCTGTCCCTGCGCACATGGCTCTGTCCCGTCCACGCCCCGCTGGCACCTCTGCTGGCAAACCGACAGCTGTTTGGGGTTTTCACTGACAGGGAACCGAGCCCGGACAGGAGGGAGAGGACCTGCAGAGGTCGGGCCATGCTCACTCTGTGTCCTGCCTTATGTAGCCAATATCGTTAGCTTGATTTGTCAGAGAGGAGGTTTATAGAGTGAGTTCAGTGTCAGGATAACATCAAACTATCCATTCACAGACCAGACCTTCCTCTTCTTGTAACGCTCACTGAATTCACTTCACTGCCTCGCCGTTAATTTACAACAAAAGGAAAAACTTCTTTAAGTCCAAAACCTCCACACATATGGCGCAGACGCTTTATTTTTTCCTACCCGAGGTGGCCGAAGACCCGCCCCTACCCTGCTTCTGATTGGCTTTCCCTGATTTGATTACCCTAACCCTAACCAAGCAACACCCTTTGTGACTAAACCAACAGACTGCTAGCCAATCAGAAGCAGGGTAGGGGCGGGTCCTTCTCCACTTCGGGTGGGTTGGGGAGAAAAATAAAGGGTCGTAGACCCGTTAAACTCGTGGATGTGCTTCCGCAAACATGAGCCTTGCAACATAAAGAGCGTGCGGCACTGCCGACTACCGGACGGGAGGTGATAAAAAAAAAGTGTTCATGTAAATATGTATATGTATTTTCTTTCTTTATTGTTCAAAATTTGATTATATATATATTCATCTTGAATTAATGTTGATTAGTATGAAAGACACAGCATTGTTCAACCAGCATAAACAATCCAGGAAACAAAAAAACTTATAAAAATATATATATAAAAGTATATATAAAAATATTTCCATTTATGAATAGAAAAATGTTTACCAGGGAATCTATGTTTTTCTCCTTTAAGAGACATTTAGTGGGTGTAGCAATACATCCTTAGGTTGAAGTTAGTCAGGTCAAGTTGAATTTCGCTTGGTATCACAGGACACGATCACAGATCACAAATTTGCCTCACTGGGTTTAACAGTGTCACACAACACCCTCTGTCCTTAGCTAACTTTGAAAAGGTAGGCCACTCAGATACAGCCTGAATCCACAAGAATTGTTATCCCAATTAAAATCTTTTTCTGCAAGAAATCATTGGATGGACAGATGTCATTCAATATTTTAAAGCTCACTTTTTGGTGGAATTGGATAACATATATAATTTTTCTTATTTTCCTCGCCTCTACGCCTCTTTGTAGAACAGATTTTCTTTTCACTTGTTTGGGTCAATATTCTGTTGATAAAAACATTTCTAACAAACTTATTAGTGAACTGCTTGCTTCAGACCCCTCTGTTGTACTAGTGTGCACATAGTGCGCAATAATAGTGTTCACCAAACTCTATTGAATCATTGTTCTAAGGGCAATTGGAGTGGTCTTTATAAAAAAATTTAATTTATCATTTTATTGTAGTCTCTAAATGGTCAGTTTACATAAATCTCCATACTGAAATAAGTTTCCAAATCCATCCATCAGATGGATTCATTATTAAATGGAAATCAGCTCACAGAAATAATTTAAACACAAGTTGTATCCACATAAACACCATCTGCCACCCTCTTTTGCGGAAGTTTAGATAGATAGATAGATAGATAGATAGATAGATAGATAGATAGATACACACACACGCACGCACACACACACACACACACACACACACACACATATATATATATATATATATATATATAACCCATTATATGTTTCAATAGCTATTTGTTTTTTTTTTTACTCCCAAAAATGCAAGAAATAGATATGTTGATGAAATAATAAAGCCTACCCCAGGAAAACTGTCTAAAATTTTATAGGTGCCCTTCCTGTTGTTTAAAAATAGTATGCATTTTGCTTTTCTGGCATTACTCTCTGTGCCCCCTGTCTATAAAATGTATACTGTGCGTCATTTGATAAAGTGATTAAAAAAACATTAAAGAAAGATGGTTATACAACAAGATGATAGTCAAACGGCGACACCTGGCGGCCAGAGCGGACTCTGCACCCCGCTCTGCCCCTGTGTTCATGTGTCACGCAGCTGCGCACCTCCTCCCGGGGCGCCGTTGTTTCATTTGCGCCATTTTGTCCGCTCACTTTGTTGATTGGGCTTTAGCGAGCTGTACTAGAGCCAATCAGAGGGAAACCGGACAGCGAAGATACGGTAAGGGAGACCCGATTGAAGGCATTGGTAGTTGTCAGCACGGATTGGTTTGTCATGGACCAACCAAATTACTAACCCTGCTAAATGCAAGAGAGGAAAAAAACTCAAATGGCAGTTTGATTTAGGCCGCTGCGTCCCAGGCTGGTTGGGCTGCAAATAACTTCTTGTTTTCGTTGACTGCTCCTGCGAGGAAACATGATGATCTATGGTGGTCCGCATGCCTCGGCTAACGCTAGCTTCTTAGCTAAAACATCGAATCTAAAACAAAGGGGTGGTTGACAATAGCGGCGTCCACCCACCAGTAAAGCAAATTATCATAAACTATAATTAACAACAACACACCCAAGGACTGTCGTTAACTGGTTACCTGTTGAGTCGCCTCTGTTCTGAGCTTTCTAGCGTTTACCAGGCTTTTTTAGCTTGCTAACTGACGCTAGCCGCGTTAGCTCCCATACGAATATATCAGTTAACAAAACAACACCCAGCAGCTGACCCCGCTGTATCACCGACTGTGAGATTCATATTTCATCTCTAAATTTCAGACACATGTGACATGTTATGACACAGGCCAGCGTGATAAACTGAATTTAGGTGACCGTAAATTATGTAAATAATGTCAACTGTTCATGAACAATGAGTTGTCAACATGTAACGTTAGATAAAGGCTGGGAAACATGTTATTTCGTGGATGGTCAAGAGTGATGTGGGCTGTATATAAAATACATTGATGAAAACTATTCATCTTATGTCAGCTAATACTGTATGTGTCTTTCCTTTGTCTCAGGAGAGGAGGATTGTGACAATAATAAGCTATGGAGCAGTACACCACTGCCACCACTACTACTGGGGAGCAGATAGTTGTGCAGACTGCCAATGGACAGATCCAGCAGCAGGTGAGCTCATAACTTACTCAGGTGAATTTGGTTGTGATAAAGAAATGTTTTCCCACCTTCTGCTGTAGGATCACAGGTAACAGGTACCAGATTCAAAGCGTTCCAGTGGAATCCAGATCCAGTCTATTTTCCTGATGACTACTTGTCTGAGATTATATTGTCCTGCCTTGTCTGCAGACACAGGGCACAGTGACAGCTGTGCAGCTGCAAACAGAGGCGCCAGTGGTGACGGCCTCAGGCCAGCAGGTGCAGACACTCCAGGTAGTGGTGTCACCGCCGCCCTGTGTCAGTGTCATGACAGTGTTACAGCCTACCAGTTTGCATGCTACAACCAGGGCTGTTTTTCATGACCCATCTCTGTGCTGTTTGGTTCACCCCTCCTCCCTTCCCAGCATGTCTTACAGCTGCCTGAACTGCATGTTCCTTGGCACAGTGTGTTGTGTGTCAGCCTCAGGTTTTCACTTATGCTCTAATGGCTAAGGAAATTACAAAAGGCTACTGATTGTCGCAACTGTGTTTGTCTCTTGCTTGTAAAAGCAAGATTTTCAAGTCAGATGTTCTTCATGATGAGTATGAAAGCCATTTGAAACATTCATCACATGGATGTGTTTTGCAGTTAGTAGAACAACCTTCTGGGGATTGGCGTTGAACTACATGGATCCATCGTCATTGCTGGCTGTCACTTTTCATCATCTTGCTGTATATTTCGTGTTACAAAATGACAGGTGGTCCCTTCCCCCTGGCATTTCTCTATGGCACAACTGCTGCCACAGGCTTTCAGTTGTCCATTGTGGTCATTCACTTATTTATGGATGTTAGTTGGACCATGAGTTCTTGTCAAGTCGTACATGTGAATGCATTTGATGGCATAGCATCTTATCTAATCATGTGCTTTTAAACAAATTGGATTGAAATGAGCTTCATATAACCTTGATTCAGCAGTAGTATTCCAGTAAATACAAAACCGCTGAATACAGAAGTTTTGTATTTTGCAAGTGTAGCCTAACTTCATGATAAAAGTAACTGAAAGTATACTGTACACAGGTTTGTGTCAGTATATCCTAAAACAGAAAGAATGACACCAAATCATTGAAGACTTTTATTTTATGATATGGTATCCTGGATGTTCCTGTTTCAACATCGCTTGCTTGCAGTCCTGTAAGTCACAGATCAGTGATACTGAGCTAACAAACACCATCAGTGCTCCTATAACAGCCTTCTGTATCTCCCTGTAGGTCCAGGGGCAGCCTCTGATGGTCCAGGTGAGCGGCGGGCAGCTCATCACATCATCAGGGCAACCCATCATGGTGCAGGCCATGTCAGGGGGACAGGGGCAAACCATAATGCAGGTCCCTGTGTCTGGAGCTCAGGGACTACAGCAGGTAAGGGATAATGCTTAGTAACTAGATTTATAAATTAAATAAATTTGTAAATCTGTACTGAAAATGTACCACACTATCCTTTACAGGGACACTGGGTGCTCTGTGAAATAGTACTGGTAGATTATGGCCTCAGTATTGTAGTCTATACTGCAGCCATCGTATTGTTTATCAAACTAAGACCAATCTCTGGGTGTTACTGTGTCTGTATGTAGATCCAGCTGGTGCAGCCGGGTCAGATCCAGTTACAGGGCGGTCAGACTCTCCAGCTACAGGGCCAGCAGGGTCAGCCCCAGCAGATCATCATCCAGCAGCCCCAGACAGCCATCACTGCTGGACAGAACCAGGTATTAAATTCTGACCAGTTGAGTGGCAAATTCATTTCATCAAACTATTATTTATATTGATACTAATTGTCTTCCCTCCTTACTTGTGGCTCCGCAGGGGCAGCAGATCAGCGTTCAGGGCCAGCAGGTGGCACAGACAGCTGACGGGCAGACCATCGTCTACCAGCCTGTCAATGCGGACGGAACCGTGCTGCAGCAGGGTAAACTCCGTCTTCTCCTACCTTTCTTGTTTGCCTTGTGCTTTGTAGACTTTATAAGCAGGTGTACTGTCGAGTTGTCATTTTGAGTAAGAACTGTGATGATAATCTGTTCTCAGGAATGATCACAATTCCAGCTGCCAGCTTGGCCGGCGCCCAGATTGTACAGGCAGGGGGTGCCAACACCAACACCACTAACAGCGGCCAAGGCACTGTGACCGTCACCCTGCCCGTCTCCGGTAACATGGTCAATGCAGGTGGAATGGTCATGGTAAGACCCTGTGCAGAGGTACCCAGCATCTTATTACCTTTTTTTTTTTTTAAATATAGACTGACACGAGGCTGTGCGGTGTGGTGGAGGTCACAGAACTTAAAGTGTCTTTTTAAATGTAGTGATTATTTAGTTTATTGATTATTAGTGATTATTTTTTTAGTATTTAGTTTATAATGTTTGTGCTAATCATAACTGCCTGTTTCTGCACAATATGAAACTGTAGAAATTTGGTGTAATGGATTAATTATCTTTTAGTGGAATCATTGCAGTGATATTCATTATTAATTATTTTGGTGATACTTCATTTTGTTGTTTTTACTAGTAAATTGTATTAAACATCTTACAAAATGAACCATGAAACTTTCTAGGCAACATTATTCAAAAATTATAGTTAATTGCAATGAATATTACTATGTTTAATTAAAGTCCCTAACACCTGTTGTCCCACACACGTGCTTTCACTTATTTTGCTTAGGACAGGAAATATATATAACTTATATACAGACTGTGCTTGATTGGGATCTACCTCACCTCTCTTCAATTTATTGTACCTATTAGGGTGAGACAACTTTCCCCTACATTCATTTGATGACTTTATGCTGTTCTCAGCATATCGCCAGTGTCAACCTATAGAATAACTGAAAACACCTGTTTGGGCGCTCAGGGCCTCTGACATCAGTTTTTAAACGTGATATAGTACTGTACATCAGTTTTGACTAAAGGTCTGATGATTGATGTGATATTTATTGAACCATTCGAACATTAACTGCTTGTTTGTGTCAGTATATTCTGTTGAATGATTTTTATGCTAGAGGGTCTAAGCACTGTGCATGTTTGTGTCTGTGTGCCTCTATCAGATGGTGCCTGGAGGTGGTGGAGTTCCCACAATGCAACGTATCCCCCTGCCAGGGGCTGAGATGCTCGAGGAGGAGCCGCTCTATGTCAATGCCAAACAGTACCATCGTATCCTGAAGCGAAGACAGGCCCGGGCCAAGCTGGAGGCTGAGGGCAAGATCCCCAAGGAAAGGAGGGTATGGCATATTAGTCATCACCTCACACCACTCACATGGGCACATCGAAGGTCTCCTTGCATTGTTAGGCCTTGTTCCTCTCTTCACTAGCTACTCGTTCACTTTGTCTGGCTACCATTTTGTGATGGGCTTGTTTTGTATATCATCTTGCGTGGAGGGAGTAGCTGCCTGAGATTTCATGTATGGGTTTAGAAGAGAGTCAAAACAATGAGCAGAAAGCTGCATAGAGGTGCAGACTGTACAATGTATTCATAATGTTAAACTGGTCATGATCTTATACACCCACTTTCTCTGCGACAGAAATACCTGCACGAGTCTCGCCACCGTCACGCCATGCAGCGTAAGCGAGGAGATGGAGGACGTTTCTTTTCCCCTAAGGACAAAGAGGAAATGGCTTTGGCCCTGGCACAGGTGTGGCAAAAAGCTGTGTAGAATAACATCACCGGTACATCATCACTCAGTCATAAACATATACTGACTTAAACCTGTAAGTATGTCATAAATTGTCAAATAAGCTCTGTAAACTGCCAAACTTACTTTGACTGACTTCTTTTGTTAATACTTAGTGTGTAATTAGTTTTCTATTTGTTGGAAAAGGCACTATCTCATTTATGAATGAAACTCCTACTAATTCATTATGGCGACCTCACTGATCCTCTGTCCTCCTCGTGTGCAGCAGCAGCAGGAGGTAGCCCAGGCAGCAGCAGACGAGACGGTGGCTCAGATGATCCGAGTCTCGTAGCACTGTCGCCAAAATCATCATCATGTCTGTCAGTGAACTCTACCCTGCCTGAGACTCTTCACCCCAGCTAAACCATCTGCCGCACCTTCTCCTCTGTCACCCCCCCCCACCCCTCTGTCACAGACCACCAACGAAAACTCCACCACTGTTTCTTCTGTTCTCTCTCTACTCGTACACTGGTCTTCCAGGAAGCTGGCCATGCGGCTGCTGAGCCTAAGAACTGGTCTTCTCTGAAATGGAGGATTCCTCTCCATGCTCAGCTTTACTGGTCAAGCACTTAGGACCAGCTTTTTATTTTCATACGGATTTGTTTGGACAATAATGAAAAATTTTGTTTAACCAGGCTCAGTGACACAGAGGAAATGACAGCTGCGAAGCCACATACTCTGTTAGACCCTGGTTTGTTAAAATATGAAAATTTGTCATTAGTGGATACTTTTTTGCTTTAAATGTTTTTTGTAAATGGTACAGAGTTTTTTTTTTTTTCCGGAGACACTCGTTCAGCCTTGATGCTAGACTTGTGTCCTTTATCTTTTATGTGATGCCCCATATTTTGAATTTTATTTTTTCAATCCATGTACTCTGGGGGATGGACCCAGCATCTTAAGTGCAACCTGCGTCCACTGAGAAAAAACTGAAATGTGATACTAATGTGAAGATGTTGCACAGAAATTCTTTTTCTTGCCAAGTGTTTATTAGATGTATTTACTCATTTGCCCAATTCTGTGGATGCATTTTATACAATTTGTAGTTAAACTTAGTGTTTGTAGGGAAAAAATGACTCAGTGTGGCATCACATTACACATCCTATCCATATAGTTACTTCTCCATTGGTTAGTCCACCTAAGTGTTTGTGTTTTTTTTTCATTGTAGATAATAGATTTTTTTACCCATCCGATGGAGTCCTGAAATGTTATTTTTTTTATAATGAGAAAAGGTTGGACATTGAATTCATGAAACCTATGTCAATTAAATTTTATTATGTGAATCAAGGTTATTTGTGTTTATTCTTTACTTCCAGTTTTGTTCAGTGTAGACATCTTTACATCAGTCATTCAGGATGTCACAGGAGTTTCAGCCATTGGCATGCTGTCAGAAATTCATGAGTCATTTCAGCCATATCATTGGAAACTAATTTTCAGTGCCAACATGCCAATCATTCTGGCAGAAGGCACATACAGTACATACACTTCCATCTTTTGAATAAGATGGTTGAAACGAAACAGCAGAAGACCACATTGGGTTCCCCTCCTGTCAGCCAAGATCAGAAATCTGAGGCTGCAGTGGGCACAGCCTCACTAAAACTGGAAAAGACGGGGAAGTCGTAGCCTGATCTGATGGATGTGGATATCTGTTGTGGCATGCAGATGGTAGGGTCAGAATTTCGTGTCAACATAATGAATCCATAGACCCAGCCTGCCTTGTGTCAGAAGTCCAGGCGGGTGGTGCTGGTGGTGGTGCTGGTGTAATCGGATGGATATTTTTTCTTGGCACATTTGAGCCCCGTAAAACCAATCAATCATGGTTTAAATGCCACAGCCTATCTGAGTATTGTTGCTGACCATGTTCAATCCATCATGACCACAGTTTAATCATCATCTATTGGCTACTTCCAGCAGGACAATGCTCCATGTCGCAAAGATCGTCTCAAACTGGTTTCATGAACCCAGTCTCCAGATCTGAATCTAGTAGAACAGCTTTGATGTGGTAGAACAGGAGATTAGCAGCATGAATGTGCAGCTGACAAATATGCAGAAATGATGTGATGCAATCATGTCAACATGGAGCAGAATGTCAGAGGAGTGTTTCCAACATCTTGTGGAATCCATGCCATGAAGACTTGAGGCTGTAATAGTATGATGCTTAGTTAGTGTCTATTGATGACAAAGTAGCACTTACTTCCAAATTGTATTTAAGTATAGAAATGTTAATCATTACCTCTACTGGTCATGTCACAGTTTTACATGATTCTTGTATCTCAATTTATAATTCATTATTGGAAACTAGATAGATAGATAGATAGATAGATAGATGGATAGATAAGAAGAATAAGGACGCTTCAGAACTTGCCTGAGAATCATCAGGTCAGGTTTTTAAGATTTCTTCAGTATCATAGTGATTCATACATTACTTCCTGTTACTTGTAAAGGTTTACATCTGTTCACATCAGTGAAGACTTATCTAACATTTTCCAATACACTTTAATCAAAAAGATGATATTGATATTTGAGCTCGTATTCATTATATAGATATCGGAGAAACAATGAATGATGACGATTGATAAACTTTTGTCACAATTACGAAATCGTGGTCCCATAATTGAGCCTCTCACATTTGGGACAAAACCAAGCCTTTGCCCTCGAGTAGACCTCTCAAACACTGTCCCAAACAGGCTCTGCCAATCACACGCTCGAGATTGTGACGTTCGTACCACGATCAGCCAATCATAATAAAAGAGGCGGGACTTGCACGCAGCCTCCTATGAGCAGGGGGGATGTATTTTAAGGCATCCATGGCAGGAGGCTGCGGCCAGGGTGACGCTGTGGGAACATCCAACCAGGTCTACGCCAACTGGCAACTGAAGTAAAGATTAAATCTAGTGTCATTACTTTTTAAATGGGTAACGAGTAACGAGCCGCAGTCGTTACTTCTCCGTGGGCCTTCCCACCGGCGCTGACTGGACGACCACCGCCTACATACTGCCCACTTGTTCAGGTGACAGCGTCAACAAACCGCCCCCTCCCCTCTCAGATGTTGCTGTCTGAGGGGGATCATGGCGACGCTGAAGTCTGCTTCCGATTCGTAGCTTCCGACTCTGCAGTTAAGGGGAAACTTAACGGAAACTTAACTCTGAGTGCCGTTTTTTTTTCTCCCCTTCCTTTTGTGAAAATCTGCTTGACATTTTGGGCCAAGCCTCAATGCTGTAACCCACCCATCTGTGAGAGACCTTTATTCTGTTAGTGAAAATACAACACAGAGAGATGTCACTGCTTTTTCACCTAGATCATATTGGACCAGGTCTCTTTCAAAAACCACTATACTTAGACTGGTCTCTCCATTTAATCCCTTTCACTTCGTAACAAAAATAGAAAAGTTACTTTTACTCTGAAATGAAAACATCTTCATTGATTCATAGATATAATATTCTTATCTTCATAAATTAGTTCATTTACTCCTTTGCCAAAGCCTTCACTGTGGCCTGTGTTATAGCCATAATTCAGCCATTCATGTGTTTGTTCTTCATATGATCTTTATGTGCAGACATTTTTATGAAAAGCTTTCTGTCAATACTTAGGCACAATTATCAACGTTTGATTGAGAAATCAATTAATTCGTCTGGTTGACCTGTCCACTAACATCCTCCTCTCCTGGCCACCAGTTGTCCTCAGTGTCTCCCTGCCCATCATCCTCATTACCCCATCATCCAAAGAGTCTACACTGTAGACCTGCTTTAGTCATTTGCCACACTGTATTGTGTCTCCTAGCCGTGTCTCGTGGTTTTTTTGTGAATCTACTGGCTTCAGCTGTGATGCGCATGGAGGGCTTCTTACCCCCAAATCAGAGGGGGCATCTTCCCTCAAAAATCCAACTCTTCCTCATATTACAAAAAATATTTTTGATTTTTTTGTTCAAACTAATGGATGTGATGGATTTTGAATTATATTATACACAAATGAATGGCATAGGCGAAAATCCTTGGGGGTAATTTAATGATGTGTACTCAAAGTAGTTGTGAAAATTGTAAATGCAAAACAATGTGTTTTTAAGTTTGTAATTATTTCACTCCTCTCTGCCTCACAGTGGTTTCAATAGTGACATGAAATGTCTCCCATGCTTTCAGGGTATAGGATGTTGCCTGTGAGTGAGGTTTCCTTTGTGGATTAAAGGTTTCACAAATCTTAAACTGTGTCTTAAAGAGTCTCTGGCTTCTCTGGGATAATCCAGTCCAGATTTGACCAGTCTAGGTGAAGTGGTTTTTATTTTGGACCTGGTCCAATGTGTCCGCTGAGCACTTGAAGTTACGTGCCCCTTAACTTTCCCCTTAACTGCTTCCTTAATCGGAAGCTACGAATCAGAAGCCAACTTCAGCGTCGTCTGTGGATGACAGCAGAGCCGCAGAACTGAAACAAGTGTTTGAGCCGCTCTTTGACAAAGTAGCGCGGATAGAGAACAGGTTCATCCCTGCTGGAGTCTGATACCTACTGCTCCGCACCGAGGCCGAGAGGAAGCGCTTCAGCTCCGGCTCTCTCATTTTAAACCACCAAGCTTAAACCAGGAGCGCGAGGAGGCAACAGCTAACGTCAGTCTGAACTCCACTCCGAACCGGCTTTCTGTTCGTTTATTTATTTATTTATTTTCTAACAGTATCGGTATCACCTGGATGCAATGACCGACTCGGGTGTGGACAGCAAGGCGGAGGTTAAACAAGCCACGAAATATGTCAAAGAGACCGAAAACGTCGCGGAGAAATATTCAGCGATGACTGTGAGCAAAAACAGCAGTGATGTGAACATGAATGTCGGGGAGATGCCGTCCGCAGCCTTCACCGCAGTCCCCACTCTGAAATCCGTCAAGAAGGTAAGAGACGTGAACGTGATGCCCGCCATCAGTCACTGCCGCCGGGAAGAGAGGCTGTGTGTGTGAGCTGTGGGCAGGCACATGTCAGGAGCATAAATCCACTCTGGTACGCATTGCAGTGAAGCACTACTGTACAGCATAGGTTATCTGCTGTGTCCATGTATCACTTATTCATTTGCGTTTTCAGCCCAAAGTTAAGCAGAGAGGCAAATGGGGCTTTGGTGCATTGTTAGATGCGATGTTGCAGTAATGTGTAGTGTATGTTGTAGAGCCGTCATCCCACTGAGGGATCACTCCATCCCGAGCCAATCTGCTAAGTGGAAAATCACCTTTACCATTTCAAATAGATTAAGCTGAAGAATCCGAGGAGAAAAGCTTTGCCTCATTGTCTCACATGGTGTGGTGTCTAATCATAGCTCTTACTATGTTATTACTGAGGTAACAACATGTAATTATGAAAAAGGAGCTTTCATGAAGACTGGATTATTGTTAGTCTGTAAAGTCTGCCTCCACAGAGCCTTCCTGTTTATTCAAACCACACTATCATGCCAATATCCTGCAGGCAAGAAACAACGAAGAGCCAGGTTGAGCTCTTAAACCCTGGGCAAAGTGGAGAAATACATGGGCTGACATACCTGAGCTTAGGCAGCGGGTCTGCACTCTAAGTATGAGGTATTTAATGAGGTGTTTGCCTTCTGAAGAATTTCAATCCACCATGAACAGCAGTCACAGAGCTGGGGGGTCTCTGAAGGTTTAGGGTCGTGGAAATCGAATCTGTAAAAATCAATCATGTCTGTATCAAGTGAACTCATCCTTGTGTGTGTGTGTGTGTGTGTGTGTGTGTGTGTGTGTTTGGTGCGTGCGTGCATGCATGCATGCCCGTTAGGCATCATCATTGTTAGTAATAGGAAGAGCATGATAAAAATGTATTAGCGGCTCAAGGTGCACCTGTGAGAAAAAGCCTCAGATTTCTTGGCTGTTCTACAACGGCCCAGAACAATCATCACACTGAAAGACTCCCTTGAGGTGGCAGCTCATATCGTTACAGATCCACCACCGTTTGTAACAGCTGGCACCAGGCAGGCACTGGATAAACATGCAGCAGACAGAGCTGAAGGCTTCTTTTTTTGTCTCTCAGAAGGAAAACTCCTCTGACCTCTCTGTCTCCTTCGCTCTGGAGTTCAGGTTTATTGATACGTAAACTGAATAGACTTGTTCTGTGGAGCTGAAGGTGAACACCTTTTTTAGCTGAGACAAGAAACTCTCAGGACTTTTCAAGGCCATGGCCTCAAGGTGACCTTTGACTTGTGACACCTGTGCTCCTTTACTGGTGCACACACTCTGTGTTCAAAACATATTGTCATGATTTTAAGAGCTAGAGCCTGATCCACACAGGCAGTGTGCACTGATATCAGCTTCACACCAGTAAATATCGGTAAGTATATTGACATATTTATTAGCATAAATGTTTCAGAAACATTTTTATGTGTAATTGTTCATTATTTCATTAACCTTAATGTATTGTGTTTATAATTTATAGATATGTATTTCCACTGAGGTCGGCTGTGCAGACATTACTTTTGTATTTGCTATTGATGCAATCTTGATACCAGCTTCACAATGTCAGTATCACCTGGCCTCTACATGACACATTAAATAATTAGAGTGTTTTTTACTGACACATCTGCTATTCTGCTACTGACTGCTGAACTTTGTGAGACTTTTAAAAGTCACAGTAAGCAGGAGTGGTCGCCCCCCCTCTGATTCCTCTGAAGAAACTATATGTTGATCAGGATTTTGTTGCTTTTCTTTTGCCTCATTACATAACTTGAGATGTTTGTGCATCTTGGTTCTTGTGATGTTTCCTTGAAAAATTCAGTGTTGAGATGGTGATCATCACACCTCTGTTACACACAGACATGTTCGCCAGCTGGTGTTCACATTAACATGATTGGATGGCCTCATTGAAGCTATGTACAAATCAGCCAAAAGGACTGCAGCAATAGGCCCCGCACAATTAATTGAAATATAACCGAAATCGCAATATGGCCATGTGCAATATCTAAATCGCAGGAGCTGTAATGTGTAAAATGTGTCACATTGTTGTTCATTGTTAGCACCATAAGCATTGTGGTGCTACAGAGACGCCTACAAATCATGTTCTCCAGATGGAAAGGAACATGTTTGTTTGGTACAAGGTCCAAAAAAAAAAATAAAAAAAACATTCCAAATGAAATTGCAATCGCAATAATTGTAATATAATTTTTTTTTTAAACACAAGAAAACTGCTAGAGAAGGACACTTAATCACAAGCAGACCATCACCATTGTTGGCCATAAGACGCGAAACGAAATATTTGCTAAAGAATAATCGAAACTACGGGGGCTGAAATTTAGCTTGAGCTACACCTCCATACAGTAATCCTTCCATCTGTTTCACTGCTTGTCCTCCGTGTAGCATGTAACAATGTTTGTCTGTACGATCACTGTTAAATAAACTAACAAACATACGCCTTAAAAATCACCACAACATCCAGGATGAATGAACATCAACATGTTTTTGACCACAAGAGCTGGACATAATAATGAGAATAATAAAAAAAAAAATCCCTATTTTCCCAGCAGCGGGGTTCACAGACTTCAGAATATTAGCTCGGACCCCCTGTGTGACGAGGCAATAATGCGTGGACTGTGAGTCGCCTCAGGGAGCCTGACTGAAAACATATTGGATGGTAGGATCGAGCGCGGTGCTCATGAAAACAAAGCAGTATGTTATGAATAAATGTGAGAGCCCAGTGTCAAACTGAGCCACCTGTTCGCATGAGGAAAATGAATGAGTAAAACAAATACTGAAAATGAGTGGAAAATCTAATTAAAAACGGTCACACATGAAAATGAAAAGTTGGACGTCGTGTTGAACTTACGAGGCCTCTGCATTGTCACGTAATCAGCTGAAAGGTGCGGTGAGCAAAAACAATCAATGTTAGGAATTAAATGGAATATGTGAGTGTGTGAGTGTGTGTGTGTGTGTGTGTGTGTGTGTGAGTGAGTGAGTGAGTGAGTGTGTGGGTGGGTGAGTCAAAGAACACCACGACTCAGCCTCCTCTCTCTTTGAATCCATCCAGCAGTTACACAATACGCCCACCCCACCCCCCCGAGAACAGGACTCACTCACCATGAATTTGTTCATGCGTTGTCATGTTTTAGCTGATCTCTGTGGACAGTTTCACATAGAATCTCTAAAGTATTCATACCCCATATTCTCCTTTATCTTGTCTTGTTTGTCTGCCAACATTATGGCAGAGTTTCATGAAGGTCAAATACAGATTTTCTCCCCACCTGGCAAGTTTAAATTAAAGTGTGGAGACATACGAAAAGGTAAATGATGAGGAAAGCCTTAAACTAACCCTGAGAGAGATTCAAAAGTCAAACTTCAAAAGAATGAATACGGCTGAAAACATCACATACACTGGACTAATAATCACCAACATTGTCATGTTTTTCTACTAAAACTTATGACGTAAGAGTAATTTGAAGGTGGTATAAACATATATGCAAAACACAAAACCAAATATGCAAAATATACGTGACACATTTTCACTGTGGGTCTTTAAAGGTCCCATATGGTGGAAAGTGAGATTTCTATGTCTTTTTTTTGAATATAAAGCAGGTCTAAGCAGAAATTGTGATTTAAAACGAGCTTTCAAGGATTTCCGTAATTTTGTGATGTCACAACACCATGCCCCCACCACAGCCCACCCGCACCCACCGTCCAACCTTTTTGTTGTTGCTTTAACTTCCCCCTTCCTTAACATGCTTATAGAAGGATAGAAATATTAGAGACCAATGGCTAAAGTTTATTTTTGCTGAATTACCGGGACATTTCAGTTTGAATTTGACCGTCTGTTCCACTCATTTCAGCGCTGACTGACCAGAAGCATTTGAATGTATTGATGAGTTTTACCAAGCGACAGTAGAAGGCTACAATCCATTACCTGTGGTTGGCCTGGCCGTGCGTCACTCAGGCAACAGTCAGCCAATCAGAAGAGAGGCTCAGAGAGCAACATAAAACAGCCTGTTCTTGTTAGAGCTCCAGAGAGAAGCATGAAGGAGGAAATGTAAAACTATATTGAGATGGATTTTTAGCTCTTCAAACCACAAATGTATCTTCAAATAAAACAAAATATGGGACCTTAAATCAAACTAGCTTTATCTAGAAATAACACTGAAAAACAGTTTTTTTAAAGTCTTTATTAAAACTCTAAGTCTGCCGTAGTCTACACAAGTGAAGTACTGTGTTTGCCTCACAGTGTGACCCATATTAACATTGGGGGTAAAGTCGCCATAGGCTGAGAAATATAACACATCCATACTGACTAGTTTCATCATCTTCAGGCTGTGTTCTCAGTTGTGCCTGTGGTGTTTAAGAACTAGTTTAACTACAGTATTTGTTCTTAGCATTCTGTCTTACTTCATATTTACCTTCTCATTTTACAGTTTTGGCAACAAAATGATACTGATATTGATATTGTAAATATCAGTGTCACATTCCCGTCTGTTTGATTATCAAGTATGGTTTTGCATCACCTCGATTTTCATGTTCTCTGACGACTGGAGTACATGACCGTGGGTAGAATTTATAGCTTCTGCTAAAGGTCACGTAGTTCTGGAGGAAGGATTAGCACGCTGTATGTTTTTTTTCACAACACTGTTTAATCCGTCATGCATGTGTTGATCTAAGTAGGCGCCTTTGCAGGAAGCACAGATTGTAGAACTAGACCTGTATGACTACTGCACTTTTTTTTGATTTGAGCATTACACTATTGTCAGTGCACAATTTGTACGCTGTGATATTCCAGTGTGTCTTTGACTTGTTGAACGTGACCACTGTGAGTAGTCAGTATACAAAGATACAAAGACCTGTGTGGATTAGACTGTCTGAATGATAGCGTCTGAGTGTTGTCTCGGTTAGATGGCGCTGTAGAGCATTAATGGTGTCTGGCTAAGTAGTTGGTGTTGCCTTATGCCAGGCCCACATTGAGCCCTTTGCACTGCCGGCTGACAGTCGCACCACAGCTTAAGTCTGTGACCTGGCCTGCTATCTGGGAGTGAAAGGGTATTTTTAGCTGTAAGATGGGACTGGATGGGCCGCTTATTGATGGAGCAGAAGGCTAATGCAAACAGGGTTTAATTCCTCCTGTCAATCCCCTTTTATTTAGTTGTCCAAATCAGGAATACAGACTGAAAGTAAAAGCTGCAGCAAATTTGTTGTGTGTGTGTGTGTGTGTGTGTGTGTGTGTGTGTGTGTGTGTGTGTGTGTGTGTGTGTGCGAATTTTTCTGAACTTGTTTCTTGTTTGTGCATAGGTACATACTGGATTTTTTTTTTTTTTAAGTCTTTGCAATTTGTTCCTGCATTTGCTCTCTCAGCACTTAAAAAAAAAGCTGCCATAAAATACAACCTACTGACTTTAGCAGCTGGTTGTCAAGGGCAGAACCCGAGAAAATGAAAGAGTTAGTGAGAGAGAGAGAGGGAGAGAGAGAGAGAGAGAGAGAGAGAGAGAGAGAGAGAGAGAGAGAGAGAGAGAGAGAGAGAGGCTCAGTTGGAATCAACCTCCCCTTTCTCTCCAGGCCTCTCACTCTCTCTCTCTCCAGGTTGGCCATTAGAAATCAGAATAATAGGTGGGAACCTCCCCCCAGCTCTGCCTGGGAGTGTTCTGGGATAATAGCATCAGGGACACCTAGTACCATCACACAGAGGACATACAGGCACAGGGAAGTAGGCTGGAAAACTGGAGAGATCAGGCAGCCATGGCACACAAACATGGGCACGGGAGAGAAAGGGTGAGTCGCCACTAATGCATCACAGAGAACTCATCCTGCACAGTTAAAGATACTGCAGATCTCACACACAGATGTGCCGGAGTTACTTTTGGAGTGTTACAAGTTTTCTGTCTTCTGTTTGCACTTATGTAGAGTGAGTTCTTTGTCTTTCACAGTTTGTAACAGAAATGTTCTGCAGAAATGCAGGTAGAAGTCCAGTCTTCTCCTCCAGTGGTCAAGTTTATTCTCGCAGCTCACCTGATTGTGATAGTTCATTGTGTAGGAGTAGCAAAAAACAGAATGCTGCCTTAAGTAACACTGAGCGATTCATTATTAATTAACCTCTTGTTTTCTTTAAAATTCCTCTCCGATTGTGCCGTCCATGAACTGAGGAAGAACAATGCAAAACTTGTGCTGAATCCTCAGGTGTCCAAACTGATGCAAAGCAAAGCTAAAAGTGCTATTTTGCAAGTGTATGAGATCGAGTGCACTCCAAATTGTGAAAGTAGAGACATGCAGAGATCTCCTCAGTTCACACTGTCTCACAAGCTTCTTGAGTTTCTTTTTACTGACACAGTAGATGGTTGAAGCCCAGGTGTCACAGCCCATGGAAAAAGGGACTCAAGATATAAACACTGAATAAGTGAAGAAGCTACTGCTGTTTGAGCATTTCAGCCATAGGTTCTTTTATTTTAAATGGATTGAAGTCATGGCAGTAACTTTTACTACTATGAAGAAGTACAGTTGTGTTCAGGTCAACTTCTTTAGGGATCATACATTTTTGTATCTGCTAACGTTTGAGTGGTAAATACCAGGTAACTAATTTATGCATACCAGTTTCACCCAGCTGTGAGCTCACACTCAGAAAAATATCCTCTCTGCAGCATTGTGTTTGACAGTAGAAATAACTCCTTTAAATGTAGTACTGCTTTAATGTCTTCCATATGCGCAGTGCACATCACACTCAAATGTTACCCAACTCACTGTTGTTAGTCTGGCATTCATGTGTTCCCGGATTTATCATCTGTGTGTTGTGTCAACTCTGCAGGCCTGCACGTTAGTGTTTAGTCCAAAACACATTCTATGGACATATAAAATAAGAGAACAAGGAAATCCTGCCGCATTGTCACAATGAATGAAGATCTGAAAGGACGTCAACATGAATGTTTAAGGAAGAGAACAACACCCATCTAGACATTGAAGGATAGTACAGAGTGAAGGTCCTTACTGTGAGAGTTGTGTGTAATGTCATTCTAACACTACCTTTAAAAGAAAGATTTTCTGTAAGTGTGAGAAACATTAAGAAGGCCTTTGCATGGTTTTCACCGGTTTTATAATCATTCCAGAAAAAGCACATAAACTATCAAGTTAAAAACATGAACATTACAAAAACGTACTCTGCAACAATATCACCTAACAGCCTCGACAGCAGGTGAACAAGAGATGAAGGAGGCCTGCCTGCGTTAAAAAGAAGCATGTTGAGAGTCCACCGCTCTTGACCGCCAGATATTATACGATGTTGTGACATTATACAATGTTGTGAGGAAGACAAGACGCACAACATCAAATGGTGAGCTTGGATTTGATCCAACACACTTGCCGCTAAGCCACCGAAGACACCTGCAGGTTTTCTCGGAAAGGCAGACTGAGAGAGCGGCCAGCAGATCTCTCTCTCTGTGCAACGCCTCATCGGGCTCTTTGCAACGTCCAGGTACCATAGGTTTTTAGCATTGGTTCTGTAATATTAATACTCCAACCTCTGGGACATCATAGGGTTCGGACCTGCTATCCACCTGCGGACGTCCTATTTCAGTAAAATGCTGAATAATGTGGCCGCCTGTGAGCCTGTCCAGAAGCAGCTGTTTTTCTTACAGTCCCATGTATTCACAGGGTGTAAGTAAAATAGGACCTACAGCTTCACCCACCTGGGCTTCTGCGTGTGCAAAGATACTGTAAATCACTTCCCGCACTCAGAGTGGGACTGTTTCTGACTTCTCTATGTCTGTCAGGATCGGTGTAGTCAGACTGCTCTGCTGGACTTTAACTAGTGACTCTCCACTGTCCTAACTGACCCAGATTACTCCAGGACCTGTGGGTTACGTCTCCCTGCTGCTTCTAATGTTGACAGCTGACTGTTGTCTTCTGCTGCTGCTTCTGCTGCTGCTTCTGCTGCTGCTGCCAGATTGTTACAGTTTCAGGGCGTTAAAATGACACTTAGTGGATTTGTCAGCTCCTACTTCTAATTGTAGCCTGCCAAGCCCTGAATAGAGCCAAACTCACACTAGGCACCAGCTTTTATTTAGTAGCTGAATGATACGAGTTTAAAAAAAAATTGGATCAAAGTCTGGTTGTAACCCCAAACACTGGATTGTTGAGACTCTTTTGTCAAAGGCTAGTCCAGAAAATAACCAGGCAAGCTGTGTGCTGATCCACTTTATGTGTTTCCAGGTCTTTGATCTTAGGCCCTTTGAAGGGTTTGGTTTGACACGATGAACCACACCAACAACTGAAGCCTGTGTATTTGAACAAAGCATAAATCACAAAGCAGCAGAGAGCATCTAAAAATAAGCATCAGCTCCCCTCCTCCTGATCCACCTGTGATTTACTGCAACAGACTCAGGTGATTTACCTTTGATAGGGCAGTTTTAGTGGCTGAAACAGCAAAAAGAGCTCAAATATATAACGGGAGAGTGTCGACACATTACCTGCACCATATAACCGGGAGTGTATCGCTGTGTATGTGTGATGATGATGATGTTACTTTTTTGTTCCTCTCTCCCCTGACGCAGCGCACGTTTCTCAGCATGTTGTGTTTACGTCGTGCACCATTTTGTCCTGATTGTCTCCAGATCCAGTTCGCAAACACAGAGGACAAGCAGGAATTCACTAAGTACCCCACCAAGGCAGGCCGCCGCTCTCTCTCTCGCTCCATCTCGCAGTCATCCACAGACAGCTACAGCTCAGGTACTGCACACCTGAAACGTTCATTCTACTTCCATGACGTGCTTTTTTTTTGGGGGGGGGGGGCATTTATATATATATATATATACCTTTATTGTAATAGTCATAGTGAGAGAGAGACAGGGGGGGATGACATGCAACAAAGGGCCGTGGGTCAGACTCGAACCCACGGCTGCTATGGTTAAGACTAAGCCTATGTGGTACGCGCTCTACCAGGTGAGCCACGAGGCGTCCCTCCCATGAGGTGTTTAGTCAGTTTGACAAACTCCCTGATGTATTTAATGTATTTGGAGAGAAGTATGTACTCCCACCTATAAATGCAGCACATTTGCATAAGAGTACACATATATATATATATAATATACACACATGAGCAGAGGAGAGTTCACAATAAACACACACATTATGTACAAAGACGCATACAGGAAACACACACACACACACGAGCTCCGCCTTCCACACAATGGATTTGAAGTATATGTTTCATAATTGGCTCTTTTGTATGCTTTTCCACAATAGTGACCTTTTGTGTTCTCCGTTTCCCAGCTGCGTCCTACACCGACAGCTCCGATGATGAAACCTCCCCGCGGGACAAAGCCCAGGTCAACACCCACGGCAGCAGCGACTTCTGCGTGAAGAACATCAAGCAGGCTGAATTTGGCCGCCGAGAAATAGAGATCGCAGAACAAGGTATATCTGACCTCAGGGGCACGTCGCCGGCGCTTCAAAGATTATGGACAATTTTCTATTTGGAGACAGAAAATGGATCCGTTGATGATTCAGTCATTGCACTTTGATCACAGTGGGTTTGAGCTGAGCCTGGATTTGTGTCTCTTATGGAGTCACTTCTCCTGCACGGAGGCAGTCGTGAACACGCTGTATCAACCATTTATGCAGAGAGAGCTCTGAGCTACCTGTTGTGACTTTGTTCCCAGATACGTATCACATGGCATCTGTTCTGCTGCTTAGACACTATTTGATAAAGGTCCTCTCCCTCCTGATTTCAAAACAGTTTATGACCCAAGGCTGGGGCAGTGTCAATATTATTCTGGAAACATGATCAGAGTTCTTTCTCTCAGCTCTATTCGTCACTGGTTACTTATTTTCTTCCTTTGATACATCCTCTCCCATCTTGAGCGTTTGTTTTTTTTTTTTATGTAGTCCCTCCTCTGTCATCTGTCTCTCTGGTTGTTTACATTGCCCATGTTAGTGATAAGTAGGCGTGAGTGCTTGTCAAGTGTTCTTCAGGCTTTAAGCCTGGCCAGCAACAGCTGTTGCTGGCGTTGTTGTTCAATCAGTCTCCATTTTACAGCCATTTACTGCACATCCACCGCGTGGAAAGGGCTTATTTTTGTATTCAGAAGGGTCCATCCTTTTTCTCTCTCCCAAAACAGAACCTGACCTTTTATGTCCTTTCAGCTTCCCTTAACTTGTGCTCAATCTGTTCCTCCCCAGACATGTCTGCCCTGATCTCCTTGAGGAAGAGAGCCCAGGGGGAGAAGCCACTAGCTGGGGCCAAGATAGTAGGCTGTACCCACATCACTGCGCAGACAGCAGTACGTCCTCTCGTCCTGTCCACTGCAGATGTTTGATACGTCCTTCTCTTCTTTATCACTGCTACCTGTACATGTAACTGTATATTCCATGGTTCCTCTTAGGTCCTGATTGAGACCCTGGTAGCCCTCGGGGCTCAGTGTCGCTGGACTGCCTGTAACATCTACTCCACTCAGAACGAGGTGGCTGCTGCTCTGGCTGAAACGGGTAAGATCTTCTCCTCTCCACGGTCAGCGGCTTCTAAACAGCTTGTACCATGGGAACAAGAGGAGCTCATCAGCAATATCAAGTATTATCAAGTTTTAAAAATACAAAGAGAAATACCGGGTGCTCTCGGTTCTGCCGTAGTGAGTCTCCAGGTGAATGCAAGGTGCTCTTGAAGCTGAAATGTAGACACAAGGAAGCTGCGGGGCTAACGTCAGGCACACTCGCACAGAGCCAAGGATGTCCATGATAGCCTTTATTTTGTTAGGGCACGTCAGAGTAAAATGTCCAAAACAAAGATCCCAAAAAGGGAGTAAAATGCAGACCGGTTTCACCCACTACAGGGTCTTCCTCAGGGCGTGGTTGGAAAGGGAAGTAAACTGGTCGACGATTTACTCCCTTTTTGGGATCTTTGTTTTGGACATATGCCCTGACAAAATAAAGGCATTTTGATTATATCTTTGGCACTGTGCGAGTTTGTTAGTCCAGCAACTTCCTTGTATTATCAAGTTTTGTGTGGTTTTATGGGTTGAAATTAGACATAAAATGTATCTATTTCTGATAATTAAAAATCCTTTATATTAGGTGAACTTGGCAGTGGATGTTAATTCAACATTAATAACATGATGGCTTTCACTTGCTAAAAATAAACTAATTATAGTCAATACATCAACCATAATGGATGTCTACGATACCAAAAAAAGTGACGTTGCATGTATTTCTGATATTGTTTTAAATACGTTGTGTAACAGTAAAGTTGAGCATGAACCCATGAACCCTTGAAACTGAAGAGCAACCAGTTAGCACATGTTCTTTCACTGTGTAATGCTGTCTTAATGGATCTGTTGCTTGTGCAGCTGGCCTGTCCTCTGCTGCCTGTCTCTGCCATTAGGTGTGTGTGTGTGTGTGTGTTTTGCTTCCTGCAGTAGTACCTGTGTTTGCGTGGAAGGGTGAGTCAGAGGATGACTTCTGGTGGTGCATCGATCGCTGTGTCAACACTGAGGGCTGGCAGGCCAATATGGTATCAATCTGACAACCACATGATAAATTGAACACCAGTCTCAGTCTGTCTCTCCTCGGTCTCTGCTATCCCCGGGCTCTACCCTGCTAGCACAGACTGGGGGGGGGGTTTAATGTGAAGGTCATCTATCACGCGGTTCACTGATGCAGATTTCTTTCTCTTAGATTCTGGATGATGGTGGAGACTTGACCCACTGGGTGTACAAGAAGTATCCCAGCGTCTTCAAGAAAGTCCGGGGCATCGTGGAGGAGAGTGTCACTGGGGTGCACAGGTGAGATGGGGCTTCGATTTGATGAGTTTGGGGGATTTTTGCTCCGAGCCGACGGAACAGTCTCCCCGAGGAAGTGTTGAAATTTTTAAACCTAAACTCAAAACGTACCTCTTCAGCCTGGCTTTTCATTAAATATGGTTTTTAGTCATTAGTCACTTTATTTTATTCACTTATTTCATTGTAATGATGATCTAAATTGTATCTTATTCTATTTTGCCTATTCTTTTATCATTGTATTTCATTCTGTTTCATCTGCTCTTTGATTATTACTTTTCTCTTTTTTGTTTGCTAATGTTATTGTAGCTTTTTAAATCCATTTTATTGTATCTCATTGTCAGCTCTTTCTTACCTGATTTGTCCCTTTCTTTTTAGCTGAAGCACTTTGAACTGTACTCACATGTATGAAAAGTGCTATACAAATAAAGTTTGATTGATTGCTTTTATAAATGAAGTGGGAAGTGAAGAAAAACAGTTTCTAGTACAACCAGTGCGTCCTTTTTGGCCATTTACAGTATGATGTTGATGAGTAAAATGTGGATGGTTGACAAAGCTCTGACTCCTTGGCAACAAATTTCAACATTTTCAAATCTGTTCCACAGCTTGTGACAGCCCATAATGGACAACGAATGAGAAAGACTGGCAGTATTTTTTGAGTTATTGATATTGATCAGACTCCTGAAATCATATTATGGCCATTCTGTGCTGTGTGATACTAAAACCACCTGCCTTCACCACCAAATGCAAAATGATGTCAACATGAAGTGTATTAGGATGTAAGATTTAAAGCAAGTGTTTATCATTGCAAACAAAGTTGTATACAATATATACAACATGATTTATTTAGCAGCTTTCGTGATGCACTTGACTTTGGGCAACAGATGATTTGACCTCTTCAGATCACCAGACAATTTTTTTACTAGCTAATAAAAAAAGCTAATAAAAGAGATCCAGATATTAAAACCCAGTGTTGTAGCGCTGTTTTTAACAGATAGTAAACTGCTTTTAAAATCCTTTTCCATGAGGTCTTTACATTATAGATTAGATGGAGTTGAGCTGGAGGCAAACCATACTCCCAATAAGAGAGGTTACTAATGAATAATATAAACTGTGTCAGCACAAACCGTATCAAAGGCAGATATATAAACCATATTATTTTTAATACACGCTGACTCTAGATTGAAAAAGGTCAGTGGCCTGATTAGGCTGGAGCCGATTTGAGAAACATGACAGAGCTCGACCGCAGCCCACAGCAGCTGTGCATGTACAACCCTCACTGGAATCAATTATCCAGGCGCTCCGGAAAGTGTAAGGTCACGGAGGATAGCAGCTCAGTCTGTGTGTTGATATGTGTGTGTCTGTGTGTGTGTGTGTGTGTGTGGGTGAAACATCTTTCCTCATGTGTCCTCTCAGATTGTACCAGTTGTCTAAGGCTGGCAAGCTGTGCGTCCCTGCCATGAATGTGAACGACTCCGTCACCAAGCAGAAATTCGACAACCTTTACTGCTGCCGTGAATCTATCCTGGATGGGTGAGGAGAATTAATCGCTCCACACTGTCTGCAATCATGCTGCTCTTGCTGGTTTTATAGTGTGAAGACTTGCTGTGTTTGAAGCATGAAGATGGGTTAAAGTGTGTTATTTTGCTTGTATCTGCCAGCTTGAAGAGGACCACAGATATAATGTTTGGAGGCAAACAAGTCGTTGTGTGTGGTTATGGAGAGGTGAATCGTTCTTTGATTTAAAAAAAATCTTACTTTAGATGGAATGACTGGATTTTCACTGGTGCAGCAGACCTTTTTGCACATTGTATATCTGTGTTTACAACTACTGCACTGTCCTGTGGTGTGTAGGTGGGGAAAGGCTGCTGCACTGCTCTTAAAGCCCTTGGAGCCATTGTGTGCATCACTGAGATTGACCCCATCTGTGCCCTGCAGGCATGGTGAGTCACAAACCATTACCAGTCAGCACCGCTCCATCACTGGATGTGCTCCGCTTTGTCTCTGTGTTGTGCATCAGATTAACTGTGATGCTAAAAGAACAATGTGTTATGCTAATTCGTTTTAAGTTGCTTTCACTCTGTTTTGTGCCGCTGAAACTAATCGAAACGTCTGCATGTGTTTCCACACAGCATGGACGGTTTCCGAGTGGTCAAGCTGAGTGAGGTCATTCGGCAGATGGACGTGGTGATAACTTGCACTGGTACTCTGCCTCATGCAGTGACGTCCATTACTTCTGCTTTGATAATCACAATGTTTCCAGCCCACAAATGCACATTTCATTTCAATATCGCAGCTGAGGTCTCTGCGTCAAAACCAGCCTTTTCATCTAAATGCTAAAATGATTTTTGGGTCTGTGTGCTAGTTCATTGAAAGTCAAACAAGTCATGATCCCACTTATATGTCTTACTCCCTCTTCAGTCACTGTTCTTTTTCTTTTAATACAGGCAACAAGAACGTCGTCACCAGAGAACAGCTTGACCGAATGAAGAACGGCTGCATCGTCTGCAATATGGGACACTCCAATACTGAGATAGATGTGGTAATATGTCTATGTAGCTCTGTGTGGGTGAGCGTTTTGAATATATGTGTCAGGGCAATTTCTATTTAAATTTCCAACTCTGCACACACACTGAGGCGCATGGCCAGAGGGAGCTTCAATGAAAGTCCAACAGAAGTAAAACAAGTCGCACAACTTTGTTCTTCACACATTCAACCCTCAGAAAATATGTTTCCAACTCTTCTAAAAAAAAGCAAAACAAACAAACATGTTCTTTAAGTCCAAATATGGCCCAGTAGATTCTTCCAAAATGGCTTCATATCCAATTCTTTATTTAACCTTGTCTGGCTTTAAATGCAGAATGTCTTCCTCTTAAGGAACTGGACTGGACTGACTCATGATGGGATGATTCATGCAACGTCTTATAGTACTTTTATGTTCTTTGTCTGAGTTCTCTTGATGTTTTTCCTTCTCCACACTGACATGTAAATAAATAAATGACCACATTTGTGTTGCACAAAGTCACACCTCTCACCTTGATACTTTTACCTGCAGCTGTAGGACTGAGTGTCTTTCATGTCTTCAGGCGAGTCTGCGCAGCCCTGAGCTGACCTGGGAGAGGGTCCGCTCTCAGGTTGACCACATCATCTGGCCAGATGGAAAGAGGGTGGTCCTGCTGGCGGAGGTAATGCCCCTCCTACATACCTTAAAACCTTAAAATTATCACACAGATAAACTTGAACCAACCATCAAAACTCTTTTTGCGTTTTAACTCTAACAACATCTTGCATTTACATCAGGCTCAGAAGCATTTTACCGTTGTGAAATATTCTGGTGTTGTAATATTATAATAGAAATTGCCATGGTAACTGCGGGTCATCTAGCATGTGGGATAAAATCCTCAGTTTAGGGTTCTCAGCCGCTCTGTGGTTCAAACGACATGTTACCTTAAACTTTGACCTGTTGTTTTTGTTCAGTGCAGTTCATACTTGCTCTCTATTAATTCTCAGGGTCGCCTCTTAAACCTGAGCTGCTCCACTGTGCCTACGTTCGTGTTGTCCATCACTGCTACAACTCAGGTTAGTAGTTTTGTCAGATGCTTGGACTTTAGTTGCAGCTGAAGGAAGAAGTTTTCCTTCTCACCACCACCACTCTGCTGTTCTGCAGTAACATGTAGTTTCCTGTTGGCCTCAGTGAGTCTTACAGCCAGTGTGTGGTCTGTGTTATTTGTAGGCTCTGGCTCTGATCGAGTTGTTCAATGCCCCAGAGGGACGTTATAAACAGGATGTGTATCTCCTGCCTAAGAAGATGGGTAAGAACTGACTCTGTTTACACAGAAACTATTCTTTAACTGTAGCACATGACTTTAGCTTGAGCACATGAACCATGATATAAATGAGTTGAAAAGAAGCAGTTTTAGGTTATACACTATAAACATTTAGAACTACTTCACCTATATGTTGCTCATTGACGCCACCCTGTGACTCGACCATAAAATGACACGATACGGCGGATTGAAGAAGTTATACTGTGTGCTGGAGAACATTTCCATCTAGAAAATATAGACTGCAATCTGTGTCTTTCTGCCAGATGAGTATGTGGCCAGTTTGCACCTACCAAACTTTGATGCCCACCTGACAGAGCTGTCTGATGAGCAGGCCAAGTACATGGGCCTCAACAAGAACGGCCCCTTCAAACCCAATTATTACAGGTAGGTCCTTCGACTTTCACCCTTTTTTATTACCGACTATTCCCCAATTTCTTCTTTTTTTTTTTTTACCACAATGTGTTAGTGTAATAAATCTACATGTGTACTTTTCGTTCACAGGTATTAATGAGAGTGTCTGATGGCGTGGTGTGATCCTCAAAACACAGTTGCCCTGGGATAAACAGAGATATCTATTTTATTTTCTAAATTGCTACAAAAAAGGAGGAATTATTTTACTTATGCTGAATGTAACTTATTAATAGCACTTCAGACATGGTGTTAAATATGACAAATAAGACATGTAGGAAATATATAATGTATAACCAACTAACATTTTACATGTCTTGTCACGTGTTTAAAAACAAAGCCTGCTTGCATGCTTTCATGTGTATGTTCTTGTTTAGTTGCTCCTGCTTCTGTTGCTAGATCACGTAGAGTTATAGATTTGTTTGTTTACCCTATTTACGCACAGTGCCAAATAATGGCCGTAAGAATGGAACAGAAGATAACATTTATGTTTTGTCTGTCATTGGCATTAAGATTTTATTAGTACATTCCATGAGTTTAGGTTGAGCCATAACAAAAAAAAAAACTCTGTATTACAATGTACATTCTTTTAGAAATGTTTTGTTTTATATGCGTTAAATGATCTCACTGAATGGTATCTGCATACATGCCCTAAAAGGTAACATCCAGTCATCCTTATCATTACAACAAAGCACGGTGATTAATACCACTTGTTATATAAAAAATACAATCCGGTGTTGTTTATTCTAAGAAACCGTAATAGAGTGCAAATGGCTGGAGTTCATTTTAAATTCCTGACTCGTGGTGTTGGCATGCAGCGCTCACCGTAAACTGATCTTGAAGCGCCCAGAGCTTCTCCTCAACAGCTGCGAAGCAAAGAGATGTTTAATGTGCTAATAACAGATAAGGATGTTATGTTAAAGATAACAGGCTGTATGCGTTCCTAAAAAAGGAAGTGAGGAAAAGTTGTGGAGAAGGGGCCAGAAAAATATTTTCAAACTGCTGTTTCATTTCATACCAAGTTTCCATTTGCTCACTCAAATTTCAGCTGTGATCCCTCTCACTGAAGTGGTCACTGAGTGTTTTGACTGGATAATACCTTTAAGGCCATGCTATGAATGTGCCTTTTAAATCATTTACAACAAGCAAATATCAAGCACTGACCTTAATTAAATGAACATTCCTCTTTTGTAAAACCACAGCCACTGTGGTACATTTAATGTCTTCCTTCCACTGCTTCTGGTATTAAGTGTAACTCTACTGAATGAGCTATATCTTGTGAAAAATCTTAGACTTTATGTTTGCCATATTATTGTCACTGTCTTAATTTGATCAAAATGCACAAGTGTATACTATGTATGTAAAAGAATGCATTAAATCAGCAATAAAGCAAAGTCCTTTTAACAGAGAAAAGTAACTCTCAACGTGTCAAACTGGGTTTGTACCAAGAAAATGAGAGAGAATGAAAAAGAGGACGTGTCAAGTGAACATTTGAAGTAGTTGCATCCATTATTATGGTGATAAAGTTGGTAACACTTCAACATGTCACCCTGAAGGAGCCTTATTGCTGCATTCTCTACATCGTGTTCCCTCACAGTCAGTCCTTCTGGCTGAGGGTCAAACTACTGTCCCACTCTGGAATATTCACCGGCTCTCGCGCACCAGGCCAGCTGCATTAGTTGCTAATATTAACAGTTGAGTCACTGAGTTTGGAGGAGGGGATTGGGAGGCTGGGAGTGTTCTGGAAACCCGATTATAACTATATAAGCAATGGGTCTGGCATTAGTTTCAGAAGAGTGACACAGAGACAAAGGCTGACACAAGGGACAGGACTCTGCTGAGATCCTTCGACTTCTCTGAGCAACAGAACACTTATCAGTGAAAGTAAGTAGCAACTGATCAGATTTTAGATTTATGTGTTTAACGGCTTTGAATGGAAGCATTACTGCAAGCTTCTTAATGTTATGACGTATCTGATGGTGTGGGGTGCATCCTCAGGCTTTAATGTAATCTTTAACTTTACAGTACAGTACTAATGCATCATTTCTGCTTTATATTATGTCTTTGTTAATGGTGATGTGAAGATTTCACAATCTATTAGATTAATTTAAGTAATCCCACAACTGGGAAATTCACTCACTATTAACTAAACAGTTGAATTTGAGTATTTGATCATTTAAAATTACTTAAAGTTTGTGGTTTTCTTGTGGCATATTCAAAATAGAAAACAATTCTAATTCACAGAATACATATATTAAAATGATAAGGTTTATCATTCAGAGAAAATATATGTTACATTTATATTTTTGTCGTGGAGCAGATACCTTAATAAATAATAAATAAATAAATCCTTAATAATAAGGTTTTTAAGTCAGCGTCTCCTTACTTTTAACCACACCTTTGACATAGTATCTCTGCCTGATAATTAGATAAAAACGATGGCCAACAAACATCAACATTACCGACATCAATAATCTAGTAATTCTGAATGATTTCAGTGGTGTGATTAGTGTAGCATAAAAGAAATGACATGTGATCTCTCCATAATTTTTCTAGGAACTTTAAAGAACCGAGCAAGATGTCCTCAGCTAAGGGAATATCCATTGGCATCGATCTGGGCACCACGTATTCTTGCGTTGGGATTTTCCAGCATGGCAAAGTGGAGATCATTGCCAACGACCAGGGCAACAGGACCACTCCCAGCTATGTGGCCTTTACTGACACAGAGAGGCTCATTGGAGATGCTGCCAAGAACCAGGTCGCCATGAACCCCACCAACACAGTCTTTGATGCCAAACGACTCATCGGTAGAAAGTTTAATGACGCCATTGTCCAATCCGACATGAAACTCTGGCCTTTCAAGGTGATCAACGATAATGGAAAGCCCAAAGTTCAGGTGGAGTATAAAGGTGAGACCAAGGCCTTCTACCCAGAGGAAATCTCGTCCATGGTCTTGGTTAAAATGAAGGAGATAGCCGAGGCCTATCTGGGACAGAAGGTGTCAAATGCAGTCATCACAGTGCCAGCTTATTTCAATGACTCTCAGAGGCAAGCCACCAAGGACGCAGGAGTAATCTCTGGACTGAATGTTTTGAGGATCATCAACGAGCCCACAGCAGCAGCCATCGCCTATGGCCTGGACAAAGGTAAAAGAGGAGAGCGCAACGTGCTCATCTTTGATCTCGGTGGAGGCACCTTCGACGTGTCCATCCTGACCATTGAGGATGGCATCTTTGAGGTAAAATCCACTGCAGGAGACACACACCTTGGTGGGGAGGACTTTGACAACCGGATGGTCAACCACTTCGTAGAGGAATTTAAAAGAAAGCACAAGAAGGACATCAGTCAAAACAAGAGAGCGGTGAGGAGACTGCGGACGGCTTGTGAGAGAGCAAAGAGGACACTGTCCTCCAGCACCCAGGCTAGCATTGAGATCGACTCTCTGTTCGAGGGCATCGACTTCTACACCTCCATCACAAGGGCACGCTTTGAGGAGCTCAACTCAGAGCTCTTCAGGGGAACACTGGAGCCAGTTGAGAAAGCCCTTCAAGATGCCAAGCTGGATAAGTCCAAGATCCATGAAATCGTCCTGGTCGGTGGCTCCACAAGAATTCCCAAAATCCAGAAGCTATTGCAGGATTTCTTTAATGGCAGAGAACTGAACAAGAGCATCAACCCAGATGAAGCTGTGGCCTATGGTGCAGCAGTACAGGCTGCTATCCTCATGGGCGACACCTCGGAGAATGTCCAAGATCTGCTGCTGCTGGACGTGGCTCCCCTGTCTCTGGGCATTGAGACTGCAGGTGGAGTTATGACGCCGCTAATCAAACGCAACACCACCATCCCTTCCAAGCAGACCCAGATCTTCTCCACATACTCAGATAACCAGCCAGGTGTGCTGATTCAGGTGTATGAGGGCGAGAGAGCCATGACCAAGGACAACAACCTCCTGGGCAAGTTTGAGCTCACAGGTATCCCTCCTGCCCCCCGAGGTGTACCACAGGTCGAGGTAACTTTTGACATTGACGCCAACGGCATTCTGAATGTGTCCGCTGTTGACAAGAGCACCGGCAAAGAAAACAAAATCACCATCACCAATGACAAAGGCCGCCTCAGCAAAGAGGAGATTGATCGGATGGTACAGGATGCTGAAAAGTACAAAGCAGAGGACGACGTGCAGAGGGAGAAGGTTTCAGCAAAGAACTCACTGGAGTCTTATGCCTACCACATGAAGAGCAGTGTCGAGGATGAGAGCATGAAAGGAAAGATTAAGGAGGAGGATAAAAAGATGGTCATCGACAAGTGCAACCAAACGATCTCCTGGCTGGAGAACAATCAGCTGGCAGAGAAGGACGAGTACGAGCATCAGCAGAATGAACTGGAGAAGGTGTGCAAGCCGATTGTGACAAAGATGTACCAGGGAGCAGCACCAGGAGGCAGTGGCGGCCAGGCAGGAGGCAACTCTCAGGGCCCCACTATTGAGGAAGTAGACTAAAACCATGGATGTCAGTATGTTGTTTACAGAAATGCTTTTGCCTTATCACTGTTGTTTGGTACCACAAATGTTGTAATTTCACTGTTTTCTGTCTTAATAAAAGTACTTTAAAGAGACAGGCTAATGAATGTTTTGAGATGTCAGGTGATTTGAAGCTACAAGAAAAATAGAAATCAATGACTGATAAGTGGCTTGTGGTCACTTAATTCTTGAGATGCTCTAATGATAATTGGTAAAAAAAAAAAAAAAAGGGCCAGGCTACCCGATAGGGCCCCAGACCCCAAAACATGCACCACTATTTAATAAACATCAAGTGAAATGATGAACACCTTAATGGGCCCTGCCTATCTTCATTTCTGTAATGATCTTAAATGGACACACATCAAACCTGGGGCTACATGGTTTTTCATCACACTTGGCGTAGAACACACAGAGTCGGGCAAAGAGGAGTCATTAAGGGGCAACAGATCATTTTTGCTCTAGTGCCCACAGTGGGTTAATCCAGCCATGCTTTTCCCTGATCTTCTTGATCTGATCTTCCTGATCTTATACCTATACAGATGTGGAATCTGTTGTGTTACTGAAGCTCAGCATCATTTTATTGCTTATTGGACAGAATGAAATCAATTGTTTTCTTTAAACAAAGATTCACATGAGACTTTTTTCTAGTTTGTTTGCTCCACAAATAAACTATGTTAATCCTAAAAAATTGAATAGTTGTAATTCTTATATTTATTACATTAATATTATACTAATGGCTTATTTATATTTAGGGTCATATTTAAATCAGGTCTGTAAATATTGTTCCTTTTTTTTTTGTTGACATTATTTCTTACTATAAATATGTACGATAATCATTCATTGGAGTTAGTCAGTCAGTAATGTTTCTATTGGAATTTAACACACATGACGCAGGACGTGGCTGTGATGTTTGAATAGTGAATTACTCACCAGTGTTTGCTTGAGGTTTTCTGCTCATCAACCAGCAGGTGGTGATCAAGTCCACTTCTTCACAGTTGGGCCTCAACCACCTTGAATTCATCATTGAAGTTTATTCTACCATGTTAAATTCTCCTTCATGGATCTTATTGTGATGCAGCTCGAACACGAGATAAGAACATTGTAAAGAAATTATATAGTAGACAGAAGTTTTACATTGCATTACAGCATCCCTCTTCAGATGAGGCCAGAAGCCTTTTATTGTAAGTTTTCTTTACACCTGTTACTTTAAGGTGCCATTCAGTGCACTTGTCTGGTTTGAACCCACATCTCTCCAAACCCTTGTCCCAGCCAAGACAGTCTCCAGGATAATGCCTACTTCTTGAATTGACAGCTGAGGATGGACCCATTAAAATCTCCCCACACACATGATCAGATAAGAGAAATGATCGACACCCAAAGAAGAACCAACACCACGACGAGCACAGGAGATCTGTCCTGAGCAGTTTGGGATAAAAAAGGCAAAATGCTCTCAACAATAAAACTCTCAGTAGTCCCTGATTGCAGATCACAAAATCTTAACAGGTATCTTTTCCATCTAAAGACACAAAACCATCTGAAATAAAAATGTGCATTCATCTCATTAGTACCCCTACATGGTGCAGTCTTTAAGGGAAGAACATCAGACTCTGATATATTAACGCTATGTGCATAATTAGAAGCATTGCAAGACAATGCTTTTCATGTCGTCTAAAGTCTGTGACGTGTGCAATATAAAATTTCTCATGCAGATGTATTTCACAGGTTTACAGAGGTTGATTTACAAACGACAAACTATGGAATTATTTGTAAACATTACTTTACAAGCTCAAAATCATTTTGACCCTAATTTGAGCCCATATAGGTGTTGGGGGAGTAAAGCCTCACACAGCAGCTAGCTTGCCCCCAGAGGACCATGTGTTTATTCTTTCTGAATGAACATCTTTTCTAAAATATGCCACTGAGTCTAACATCTCAACATTAACAATGTTATTATCTATGTTAATATTTATTCTGCCATCTCTGACTGGATATTTACAATAACAGTTGTATATGGAGAAGTGCTAGTTGTATTTCCCTGTATGCTACTCACCAAAACAAAAATCATAAATGTGGTGTATTTACAATGTATCTCCATCATCATCACAGTGTATAAAATCCAGCACCCTGCTCTCATTCCCTCACTACGCAAACATGAACGTTTACTGTCACCATGGCAACAGGTGCTGGTTTAGTAGTTAACGTTAGCTTAGCCTACATATAGACAATGAACAATAAAATTGTAAATAAAATACGTCACATACTGTGACACATACGGTATAAATGTTACAGCACACACAGTATGTGAAGCGGCACTGAACACAGCAGCATGACCTCAGTCTGGTCTAACTGACTATAAATAATTTAAACCTGACCTGAAATGTCCCCTGAATATCAGAGTTTTTATTTCTTCTGTACTCGGTAAATGCCAGTCTCCTAGCAACACCAGGAGCCCCTGCAGCACATCCCATAATAACCTAATTAGTGCCACTTGGTGGACATTCAAGAGCCGCAGGGTTTACCACAGTGTTTTATGGAGGTATGGTGGGCCACTTCACCAATCAAAGACCACCTCTGTGACATCATGAAAATCAAAACACAGGCTGAAAGATTATTAGACTATTACATACAGCAAATACCACATATTTACTGAGTGTGGATACTGTTCAGGACGTCAGTACAAACTCGCTTGATCACAACATGAGATGTGTCACAGTCAGGGTGGTTTACCACCTTGGCCAAACAATGGCCTGCTGCAGCCCACTTCACACAGCCCCAATCTGACATGTAGCACTCTAGCACACACCTCCGCTCCACACTTCCACACTTCTATCCACAACTCTCAACTTTCAACTCTCAAGTGTAAAGCAGGACCGAGGCAGAACCAAACGCACAGTCAGGAGAACAAACACATCATCATCCAGGCAGAGAGCTGCAGGAGGACAGTCAGTAGGTCAAGTGCCGTACATACAACCAGAGAAATTGAAAACAGATGTTGTGCTGCTCCCAGTGGAGGGACAGAGGCCAACATAAGGAATTTCAGGCAAAACCGCATCTCAACAACTTGGGGCGATGATGTGACTGGCTGCCATGGCAACACAGGACAGGAGAAAGTTAAACTGACAGGATATGAGGGAAAGTGGCTGAATTGTGGTCCTGCATAATGCTTGGGCCATAGGATGATATACGGGATGGTCTTTATTGTCTTCCCCTGATCAGTGATGATGTCTTAACCTCATCTCTCTGCTGAGCGAGGTGCAGGGCAGCGAACTGAGATACACTTCAGTCTTTTGTGAACTTCCAGGCAGGAGCTGTTGGACCCTGTATTCTCCCAGGACGGGACACAGAGACAATCTGCCTCCCACCGTGTCCCCAGCAGGTGCTTCATACATCTAATCCTCACACGGCCAAACCTCACAGATCAGCGGAGCTTCATTCAAAGGGATGGAGGTTGGAGGCATATCTAATATCTCCACTGACTTCCACAGTAAAACTGTGGTTGATATCCGAACAGATCGCCTTTTTAGTGACGAATTGTCCACAATCAAAATCAAACTTGAAACAAACCTGAAATCAAAAAAGCCACTGATGCACCATAGGAGTGTATTGAAATGTATTGTACACAGGTAAAACAGTCCACTGTCCATACAAGCAAGCGAACAACAGAAGAAAGAAATCACAGCTCCTGCTGCCTCGTTTGCTCTGGTAAAAAAAAAAAAAAGACTCTCCGAGGTACATGCTGGTCCTACATGAGGTCAACTGGGGCCCTTCATTCGGTGAACACTTGCGCACTTTTCCAAGAATCATTGATTGAAAGTTTGGTAGTTTTCACCTCCAATGTCTCAGAGTGAAATTCAGGATTTCAGGACGACTTTCTTGAATATAGAGGCTCTCCATAGCAACCAGCTTCATACGTCTGCACCAAGACCAGCTGCTAATGCTTACTAGACTGATTGGCAATGTAAGTATTTCTTTAAGGTAGTATAAGGTTAGTATTATTTTATTGAAATTGTATTAGTTTGTGTAAAGTAAAATACTTGCAGTGATTCCCTCCAACATGCCATAAAATATACTATTATATTATAAAGACCCAATGCACAGACCTACACTTCTTTTTGTATTAATGTAGGCTACTCTTTATAGAGGAGACTACTCCTTTGTTATTTTCGGTCCATTTAAGCACAGCTAACGTTGCTGGAGCAGAACCTAGAGAACACGCATTACATGTAACTAGCTGTAAGGAGAACTGACCACATTAGATCACAGGGGGTCACACTTCAATATTTGAAAACAGAGTAACAAATAAAGCAGGTTCCCCCGCTAGCCGCTTCAATGCAGCACATCTTCCATCTTTCTATTTCTTTCTATGAATGTGCTGGGGCTTAAGATTGTACACACTTTTATGATCCACTCAGCATTATGACTTTTTTTTATTTTTTTATACTTTAAGTAATTTCTTCTGATAATACAACTGAGGATTTTTATCTTGATTTACTTATTTCTATTTTGCACATGCTGTATTAGGCCTACTCCCCAAGACCTGTAAAAAGACCTTGAGTTCTCCTTTGAAGAGGATTTTGAATAGAATAGCCTGCTTTTGCTTGTACCTGGTATTTTAAATATTTATTTCTTTGGTATTTGAGTAAAGCATATGAACAATCACCAAATGATAATCACCAAATGATTATCTTTACCACTGAACAGCTCATTCAAGAAGCTCGTTCAGACATGTTGTTCACTGAAGGGTCCACTAGGTGGCAATAACAGGCTGTGTCAGCAACATCATGACTTTTCTAAACACATTGGAGTACTGAGAGCTACCTGTTGGATCAGACTTACAATAACAATGAGCTTGAGCTACTCCTGGAAATGACAACAACATCACATCTGGATCTTTCAGTTGACCTTTAGTGAGCACTGCTGAACATTCGACATTATCATCACTACACAGGGTGATGAAATTGCCTAATTTAATAGGTTTGTTTGTGTAGTTGTCTGTGCGTGCCACGCAGTGAAACAACACCAGCAAATGCCAGAATTGTTTCTGTGCAGATCTTCTTGCTATATAGTTGTAATCTTCCATAAGTCAGTGTATTCAACTACAGTACGTCCCTTACGTTTCCACCTGCAGGAGTAGACATATCAAAAGCACCAGTACGACCTAAACCAACCCCACGCAATAGCAGTGAGAGGTCGCCTACACCACAGAGAACATCTGTGCTGTTTGTACTTATTGCTATGTTTTCTATATGACTCATTAAATCTGAAGCTGTTGCTGCAGTGCAGGTCAGCATGTTCCCATGATGACCCGGACCTGGATACACAGCAGCCCACAACAGAATAAATTAAAGGTTTGAGACACTTAGTGCTCACGCACACACACACGCACAGATAAGACACTTCATCAGCGCGTCATGTTGGTCTAATTAGAGGGAGTGGTTCTATAATGCGCCAACCCCCGCCGGCAGCCAAAGAGTTAAACTGTGGAGCCTGTTGTTAAACGCACCGTCCAAGTGGGTGTGTGTCGCTAAGGGAAGACAGGCTACTTGTGGTGAAGCAACAGATCCCCAGCTGGAAAACAAACCCCACATCTGGCACGCAAGCTGAGCGCCTTCAGCAGGAAGAGCTGCTGGGATTTTTCCGTGCACGATTAAATGTACGGCTGGATCCTTCTTTCTCAGGCTTCTTCCGTCTTGTGTGGAGAAGGGAAAAGTTGTCAGCAACAGTTGTGGATTTTGGCGTTGCAGAATTTGGATAAGATTTTGTCTAACAGAGGGTGAGGAGTGACTGTTACTTGAGGCTCAGAGGTTCACGCTGCAGGCCCTGTACTACCGCGTGTAATTAACCAATAATCTGATTTATTATTGGCAGTAAGCTTGTGTTGATGGACGGGAAACAAGTGCAACCTCTGGAGGCAGCAGTTTAAGTCACATTGTGCAAATCTATTCGACATTTAAAAACACATACCTGCGTTTTGTCGCGGCACCCGGTTGAGTTTTGTAACAGGTGTTTTTTTTTTTTTTTTTTTTTTTTTCACTGAGCGTCTCACTTTGGTGTCTGGACCGTTATCTCCTGGATAAATGAGCCACACAGACCGTTACAAGGACCGGGGTCTGAAATGAGGGCGCACTCTGCGTTAATTATTTGATATTTGAGTGGACAACAGTTTGTAACGGAGGGGCGAACAGCCAGAAGCTCCCTGCTTCTCAATGATAAGCTCGGTGTGTGTTTCGTCTTACCGAGGGCGCAAGTCTGGCAACAAACCTCCGTCTAAATCATGTCTGAAGGAGGAGATGGCCAGAGGGGAAGACTCGGACAAAATTATCATCAACGTGGGCGGCACCCGCCATGAAACCTACAAGAGCACCCTTAGGACCCTGCCGGGGACCCGCCTGGCGTGGCTGGCAGACCCGGACACGCAGGTCAGCTCCGACTCGGACGCTGCGCCCCCGAGTGCCACCGAGTTCTTCTTCGACAGACACCCGGGCATCTTCGCCTACGTGCTCAACTATTACCGGACCGGCAAGCTCCACTGCCCGGCAGACGTCTGCGGGCCGCTCTTCGAGGAGGAGCTGGCGTTTTGGGGGATAGACGAGACCGACGTGGAGCCGTGCTGCTGGATGACCTACCGCCAGCACCGGGACGCGGAGGAGGCCCTGGAGATATTTGAACCGCCGGACCCGGAGGACACCGACGACGACAAAGAGATGCCGAGGCGGTTCGGCATCGAGGACTGTCCCAATAGGTCGAGGGGCTGCTGCGAAGTTTGGCAGCCGAAGCTCTGGGCCCTGTTTGACGACCCGTACTCCTCCAGAGCAGCCAGGGTGAGTTCACCAGCTGTTTCCTCCTCTGAGCGCGTTATTGGCCATATGTCAGAGTGGGACCATAAAAAGCCTGCAAGTGATTTTCCATTCAGGGAAAAAGGCGCACATGTGCTTATCAACAGGTGTCTCCACAGGCTCATCAGCTTGCAGCAGCTACAGGTAGCCTACAACTAAAAGTCTGTGTTTGATGTATCTGAACTGTCTGCGTTGTAGCTACACTTTTCATTTCAAGGTTTTAAACAATTGCCTGATTTGTATATCTCACTGATCCGAAGAGTCAGCCAGAGTCAGTCTGTACAATTTCTATTTACTTTATTTCATTCTCTTAGTATCAGTACTGGATAGTGGATAGTCCTCCATGGAAACATAAAATCAACACAGGACACAGTGAAACAACAATAAAACAATTAACACACACTAAATAACAGCAACATCTTGCTGTCAAGTCTGGACACTTTTCAAGCCTGTTAAGTGCACTGGAATCCAGATTTCAGTGGTGTCCACATTGATCTGAGACTGTGCAGATTATTTATTCAGTAGTAAAAATCTACCAGAAAACATAAACTCAGTGCTGCTGCTGCTGCTGCTGCTGCTGCTGCACATTCTGTTCCTGGCAACACTGATCCACCAGTTTCAAGTGACAGCTGGATGATCCAGGGGCGAAGCTAGACTCAACACAGAGGGGGGCAGTGCACTCTCAAGACACCCCAGGCAGGTGCACCGTCTCATGCTATGTCCACACCCAGCACGTTCTCATTTTAAAACGCATCTCTTTTGCTACGTTTTCACCTCCCGTCCACACGACACACAGGTTTTTGAGCACTGAAAACAGAGACTTTTAGAAACGCTGCCGCAGCTGCTGCAAAGACGACAAATTCATTACTGACCTTGCAACCAATCAACTGCAGAGTAGACAATCTACTTCCTGTTTACACCGGCTCACGCATGCCCAGTGTGCATGATTGCTCTGTCTTACATCAGAATAACATGAACATAAAGTAGACATGGCAGGTCTCTTTTCAAGGCCTGTTCAAATAGAAAGAAGACAGTCTAGACAGGTGCTGAGATGCGGTAAACGTGGAGTCAAACGACAGGGTGATCTAACGCTCTGACTGATTTCATCATAACCAACGTTTAAGATAGTACAGACTAATTGTGGATGTTTCACTCACCAGTTGTCGTCCCTGCTCAGCCTGCTGTAGTCTAGTGCATCTGTATATTCCACCATCCTCCATAGAAGCAAATGATCCTAACAGGTTAACGAGCTCTGTATGTATCCCGTCGCGTTGTTAAAACGTCACTCTGCTCTCCTCCATGCTATGCTTTGATCTACAGCCTCGTCGTTAGCCACTGTCAGGCTAGGAGAGCTAGCAGTAAGGTTGTGTTGGAAGGACCAGCAAGATGAGAAGTAAGATGTAGAGGGAGCACAGGATGCAACAAAAATTTTTCTCACTCTCTCGCTCCGCCTGATTTATACTTTCTCTCCATTTTTCCACTTAGCTAGATTAAAGAAATGCATCGGTTAACGTTACAGTTACACTGTAACTTCATCACTCAGTCACGTGGCATTCGCCCGACCAGTGGTGTAAGTGGATACAGTTGGGGGGGAATAAACAGGAACTGAAAGACAACGTCGTCAAGAGAGAAGCACAATCAACATCCTCTTTAATTTGCTCACTTTATAACAACATTTCAAAAGGAAAATCTTACGAAACCCTCGACCAACGCACAGCTTGGGCGATATCCAAAATTATGATATACGATATATGACAAAGTTTTATTTGTCACGTGCCAAGGTACAGTGTACAGTAAGCAAAGCAGTGTATGACGGTCGGACTTGGCATCTTTAACACAGTTTCAACACAAACTGAACATTATAACCTTGATGACGGAGGATTTATTGCAGGACTGTTGGATTAGACTGCATCGGTTTTAGCTAGGTGTACCTAATAAACTGGTAACGGAGCACACAGAGCGTATGAATACCTGTTCATAGGGCCACAACTAACTATTGTTTTCAACTGATCTGTCAAATGCAGCCTTGATTAACTGCTTTGTCTATAAAATCTTCATCATATATGACAAATTCTCAATTTGAAGCTGGAACCAGAGAATCTTTAGTATTTTTTTTCGCATTTGATTTTCAAAATAGTATTACTTTTCTGTTCTGTTCAATTAATCAACTGATCGTTTCAGCCCTATTTTTCTTCAGTGAACTTCTGAAACATGCCATGAGTGCAAAATCATGTTCATTGTCGTAATCATGTTGTTGTGTGACACAGATAAAACCATGTTATTCATGTTTATGAGTTGTTGGAAAAAGCTCTGCAGTCTCCAGGATCCAACTTCTCCACTGTCACTTCACACATATATTTTGTTTTTAATAACATATTACATATTACAAAAGATGACACATTTATCTATTTATCTCCACAGGTACAGCAGACTGTTCAATAATGTGACGGGCAGTTTTCGCTTGTTCAAAATACTGAAAATAGAGAAAATGCTGTTTCATGACCGAAATACAGAGCTGGTGAAGTGTTCCCACACATTCTGTTCAAGGTTTACACTCGAAGGTCCTCAAAGCACGAGTGCTTGAAAGGCTGCAGGAGTAAATCACACTGTATATTAATTTAGAAGAGGAGGGTATACATGCGCATATAGGCAAGAAAAACAAACTAATAATCCATTAAAACAATGTTAAGAAAGTTAATTGTATGTCACCCATTTTACAATGTTGCTGCTGCACCTTTGGTGTGTTTCTCCTCATTTGTGAATAATATTTCCTGTAAAGATCGACACCATGTCACAGCTTAAGTGTTTTTAAAAGTATCCTAAGATTATCTTGATGAGCAACATACACTCGTACTGTTTGTTTTAGAGATACAATAAATGTTGCTAAAAATCATTTTGCTTTCATTACTTCCACAGGGGATATCATCCTGTTGTAAGCTTTTGAAAGTATATATGCTATGGCTAATGGCTCAGCAACAAAAGCAGAGCGTTTAGTGGCGTAAACCTGAAAGCAAGTATCGAGTGTCACTACAGCAGGAGTTGTCGGGCTCTCATCAATCACAAAGAAAAATACATTTAGTTCAGACAGAGAGAGGCTGATGCTCACTCTAATTTCTGTTTGCCCACTCGTGGAGTTCAATGGTCTATTCACAGACTCTCACAGTGTTGCACAAGTATAATGTTCTTTTTGCATGTCAGTCACATTACAATTAGTGTTTATTTTAGCTTCTTGTCCAGGTGGCATTTGAGGCTGTCACAGTAGAACAGCCGACATGTCTGAGTCACAGCTGCCACTGCGTAGGTGCCATCTGAAGATGACCCGCGCTGTGCCTGTCACTTAATCACGTCTGTCTCTCACCACTCTCACAATATTTGTAAATGAATTGATTCGGATTTGTGAAGTTCTTAGGAAAAACAGCAGCGTAGATGTGATGATCTGCCTGGATGTGGATGTGGTGAGAATGAGTGAAGCCGGATGCGTATTGACGAAGGCGTAATGTTCTTTATCCATTTCCTCTGCAGCCGATTCATGTTCGTATGTTTGTTCCGTGTGCGCTGTGAATGGATGCGGAGAGCATTTTGAGGGATTCATGTTACCTTGATGGCTCTTTTTGTTTTCAAAGAGCTTCTGAGCTCATCTCAGGTAATGTGATTCTTAAAAGCCGGAGGGAAGTCAATCTGTCCATCATTTAAGCCACATCCTGTTCAGGAACAACCAAGACTGGAGGAGCAGCTCTGTGAGTGTAACAGCTTTGGCATACAGTGCAGTCAGAAGGGGATATAACAGTAATGGCTCTGTGCTGCATCACACAAATGGAACAGTGAGAATGAGTTTAAAGAGTCCACATCAGATTAACACTATGAATTTTAGCATTTTGTTCTAATCATGCTAACAACATGGCTGTATGGATGACAACGTCTGTTGATCCGCCACTTCTGTCCAGACTGAAATATCTCAACAAGTTGTCAGATGGATGGCCACCCAGTTTTGTACGGATTTTAACGGCCCCCAGAGGATGAATCCTCTCCAGTGCTACCATGAAGTTGGCATTTTCATTTTTTAGTTGAGCGTCTCAACAACTATTGACTTTGCCATGAACTTTGGTGCAGAAATTAATTCAGGATGACTTGTAATAAACTCTGGTGATTTCTTAGCTTTTCCCCCAAATCCATCTTCAGATTTTTATTACGCCTCCGCACCGGTGACAGAGGCATATTGTTTTCAGGTTATCCGTCCGTCCGTCCGTCCCATTCTCGTGGACACGATATCTCAGAAACGACCGGCTTGGACTGAAGGGCGAACTGATTAGATTTTGGTGGTCAAAGGTCAAAGTCGTGGTGACCTCACAAAACATGATTTTGGCCTTGTGAATGTGATATCATGAGAACTCCTCAAGGGAATCCTTTCAAATCATTCACTTGGACTCAAGGACAAACTCATAAGGCTATGGTGGTCAAAGGTCAAAGGTCAAAGGTCATGGTCATGTTGACCTCACAGATTGTGGTTTTGGCCTTGTGAACGCAAAATCTCTGTAAGGCCTTGAGGGAATTTCTTCAAATTTGGCATAAATGTTCACTTGGACTGAAGGATGTACTGATTAGACTTTGCTGGTCAAAGGTCAGAGGTCACACACAAAACACTTTTTAGCCATTACTCAGACATCACACAGCTATTATGACAAAACTTCACACTCCTCTGGATAAACAGGGATGTAACCTGAAACTAGTCTGAGTGGCGGAGGCAGACAACCACGAGGTGGTGGTTCTGGTTTGTCCACTATTTTTCTTTGACCTGCAATCCTCATGACAATCCCACCATCCTCCTTTCCACTCTATGTTTAGTGAGAGTTAGTGAATATTAGCATGCTAACACACTAAACTAAGATGGTGAACATGGCAAACATTATACTTTCTAAGCATTAGCATGTTAGCATTGTCATGATTAACATTTGTCCATAAATTCTTTGGTGTCAACAACTGGATGA